TCACAGAACAGACTGGAGTTTTTGGGACACATTATTTCAGCTGAAGGAGTGGAAATAGACCTGAAGAAGATCGCGACGATTCAAGCATGGCACGCACCGACAAACTTGACCGAGTTGCAGAGTTTTTGGGGTTCGTTAACTACGTGCGCCAGTTCGTCCCCGACATGGCGAAGTTGACTGCTCCGTTGACCGACCTGCTGAGGAAGGGGGTTGAGTACACGTGGGGAGAGAAAGAGCAAGCTGCCTTCTCGGCCCTCCAGCAAATTTTGTGCTCGCCGCCCGTGCTTCACATCGCAGATCCGCACCGTCCGTTCGAACTCGGCAATAACGCAAGCGACATCGCCGTGGGAGCAGTATTGTTGCAGGATTTCGTGAACGGCCTCCAGCCAATCGCGTACGAATCCCGCAAACTTCACCCGCCCGAACGTAACTACCCGATACACGACCGCGAAATGTTGGCGATCGTGCACGCGTTCAAAGTGTGGCAATGCTATCTCACCGGAGCAGACATGACAGTACGGACAGATCACCGATCACTACAGTACCTCCGCGCCCAACCGAATCTCAACCCGCGACAGATCCGCTGGTTGGACTATTTGGAGTCCAACTTCCACTACACGGTCACGTACAAAAAAGGCGCATCAAATATCGCCGACGCACTCACACGCCCTACCGCCCAACTCCATGCCATCCTACTCGCCCAAACCAACCTACCATTAACAGGCCTATTCACCCACGGAGACAGTACCGACCCATTTTTCACGACCGGAAATCCACAGCAACTTGCAGAAGCTAAGGGAGTCTATTACGTAAAGACAGGCACCAACCGCATTTGGGTACCCGCGTACTCACTACTGAGGGAACTGTTACTGCAGGAGGCACACGACGGGGTTACCTCGGGTCACTTTGGGGTAGAAAAAACGCGACAGCAACTGCAGCGGTATTACTACTGGCCGAAGCTGTTGACCGACGTACAACACCACGTGGGCTTGTGTCCTACGTGTCAGGTGATGAAGAGCTTGCGAAAAAGAAAGGCGGGTCAATTGCAGCCGATTCCACCGCCAGAGCGCGCCTAGCAGCAGGTTACCATGGATTTCGTCACGGGGTTACCTTCGAACCCTGGGGGTAATGACGCGGTTATAGTCGTCGTTGACAGACTGACGAAAATGGCTCACTTCGCTGCGTGCAAAAAATCGATCTCAGCCGAAGAAACCGCTCGCATGTTCATCGCAACCGCCGTTTGACTGCATGGGATACCAGCCGCGATAATCAGCGACCGTGACACGAAGTTCACCAGCAATTTCTGAAAAAATATCTGGGAGCCGTTCGGGACTAGGCTACAGTTCAGTTCATCATACCACCCCGAGACTGACGGTCAAACGGAGCGGACCAATCAGACGATGGAGCAGTTGATTCGGGCCACGTGCGACGACTTGACAACTTGGGAGCAGCAGCTGCCGCTGATCGAGTTCGCCTACAACAACGCCACGTCAGCGACGACGCAGCAGTCCCCGTTCTACCAGAACTACGGGCAAAACCCAATAGTTCCCATGACGCCGAGCCCGGACAACCCAACGCCACGCGCACAACATTTCGCCGAGATTCTGCAAGCTGCCCGCACCAGAGCCGCCGAAGTAATTACAAAAGCCAACGTCATCGCTAAACGCAACGCCATCGCTAAGCTGACCGCCATCGCCGCCTAGTCACGTGCCAGTCAAGGGATTACTGCCCGTCGTACCGAAATTACGATCGCGTTACTGTGGACCATTCCAAACCAGCCACATGATCACCACCGTTACTGCCCATTTACTGTTGCCAACAGACTGGTACATCAGCTCATCATTCCACGTCAGCCTGCTTCGCCCCTACATTCCAACGACGAGCCAACTGCCTCGTCACTGCCCGCCATCCACGATTCGCCCTGCATCGGAGCCAATCATCGAGCCCGAAAAAATTTTGAGCCATCGGATTCGACACCCCACAGGCATCAAAAGGATTGAGTTCCTCGTTCGCTGGAAGGACCGCACGCCAACTGAGGATAGCTGGGTGCCCCTGGCCAACATCGAAAACCACCGTGCCCTGCAAGTGTACCTGAGGAGCCGGGGTTTCCGCGATATAGACGCACTCGCGTAGCGGAGGGGGCTTCTACAGGGGGGGAGGGGGGGGGGGGGGTAGTGTAAGGAATTTTATCGACATTCCTTACCGCGACTTGCAGCATCGCGTACAGTAGCAACCGTTGTTCGCCCGTTACTGCTAATAGGGCTTCGCCAACTTCGCGAGCACTGTTCCACCACACCTCGCACTGCTGGAGCAGCCGAGTCGGCCTACGCTTCGGGTAGCTCGCACGCACCGCGTTACCGTTTGCATGTTTTAGCCTATGAGTATTCGCTCATGCCTGTGCTCATACCTTGTACTCGTTTTACAACTTAGTGCAATCCTCGCTACCTCGATTCATTGCACCCGTAACACCCATTCATAAAGAGGATTCGTGGTGTCTGCTGTTTCACGCGGTTCCGTTCGGTTCGTTAGCGATTTCAACCGTTTTTGGCGCATAACCGCTTTGGAACGCATAATATTGCGCATAACCACACTGACGAAATTGGTGATGCGTGAACTGAAGAGACCACTGCGTCTTTGTGAATTGCGCGCCTAAATTGCGCCACCTGATCTCGGCAGATTCTGGGATCAGGTGGAGCGCCATTAGGACCTCGGTGTGTGTTGCGCTATTGGGCGGCATAATCCAGATTGGTAATTGATAGCTCTTTTGTATCCCCGCCTATTTTCGAGGAAGTGGATTTCCAAGCGGGCGGCTAATAAGAAGGGATTTTTACGGCAGGTTTTTACGAGGCAGGTGTTAAAGCGACGGTGCACATTTGCCACCCAAAACCCAGAACCCTGGCGAACTGTTACTGCGGATGGAAAGTGTCCGCACGAAATCCTGGTTTTCGCCAGCCAGCACTTTTGCGCTGGCAAGCCTGGTTAAAAAAAAAAACTTCTGAACCCAACACTGCCAAAAGTTGCCCGTCGCTTTAACAATGGCTAGATGTGTCGGCACTAATCAAATGCGATCTGTCGCTAACGGCGTCACGAATGCGTTCGGGAATGATCTCGCGAATAGATTCGCGACCGGTTTGGCTGGTAACGGCTATCGCGCGCTTCGTTTGCCTTTCAATCCCGCGCCGCGCGGCGTAAGATCCGCTGACATGGCGGGTCTTCTCGTCCACTGCTCGCTCCGAGGGTTCCCGAAACCCGCGCGACTTTCCGCGGCGCGAACGCGGTCAAGAAAGTCCAAGCGAGTCGTGGCGAGTCGGACGAGGTCAACGTCCTGTCGCGTCGCGAAAGCGGAGGCGGGGGAAGGGACGGGGAAAGAGGCGGGGAGTGAGGCAGAGAAGGAGGAGGAGAGCGCAGGGAAATTAAGAGTCGCCGTGATATGCGGAGGGCCGTCCGAGGAGCGCGGGATATCGCTGAACTCGGCGCGTTCCGTGGTGGACCACCTGGAAGCGCGCGACGTGGAGATTAAGACGTACTATGTAGACCCGTTCTCAAGAGTATTCGCCATTCCGACCACCCAGGTACGAACTGTTTGACTTTTGTGTTGGACTACCGCAGTAGGGAGCGAAGGAAGAGGGGGGGGGGGGGGGGGGGGGAGGAGTGGGGAGGGGAGGAGTGGGGAGGGGAGGAGAAGAGGATGCGGAATGAGGCACTTATATTCGAAATTGACATGCGTGTTGGAATATAAGACATGTGAAATTTGACATTTGAAAGAGAGGCGGTTTATAAGGGGAACGGTGAACAACAGCGGGCCGAGGAGAAGCAGCATAAGAAAAGGGGGTGGGGGGCGGTTGAAAGGGAAGTCGAAATCGGCAGGCGCGTTGAAAGACATTCGAGGGAGAGGTAGTGATAGCAACGGGGCGAGCTGATAGCAACGGGGCGAGCTGATAGCAACGGGGCGAGCTGATAGCAACGGGGCGAGCTGACAGCAACGGGGCGAGCTGATAGCAACGGGGCGAGCTGATAGCAACGGGGCGAGCTGATAGCAACGGGGCGAGCTGACAGCAACGGGGCGAGCTGATAGCAACGGGGCGAGCTGATAGCAACGGGGCGAGCTGATAGCAACGGGGCGAGCTGACAGCAACGGGGCGAGCTGACAGCTAAGGGGCGAGCAACGGAGCTAGTGTGGAAAGGAAGCAGGGTTGAGGTCAAGGGGGGGGCTGTTATCGTCCCCTCCCTTTCCCGTCGCCCTCACCCCGTTGCTGTCCCCTTGCTGTCGCTCCCTTCGTTTCCCTCTTTAGATGCTTTTCAACACACCTGCCGATCTCAATTTCAAGCTGCTGATCCGCGCTCCCCTCCCTTTCCCGTCGCCCTCACCCCGTTGCTGTCTCCTTGCTGTGGCCCCCTTCGTTTCCCCCTCAGATGTATTCCAACCCGCCTGCCGAATTCGACGTCGATCTCTAAGCGCCCGATTCCCTTCTTTCTCTCCCTTTTCGTCTCTCGCCATTGCTATCGTCACACCTCCCTCAGATGTATTCCAACCCGCCTGCCGAATTCGACGTTGACTTTATACGCTCCATCCCCTTCCCTCCCCCCCGTTCCCTTCCCCGTTGGTTCCTCCCCCATTGCTCTCGTCACACCTCCCCCGTTGCTCTCGTCACACCTCCCCCGTTGCTCTCGTCACACCTCCCCCGTTGCTCTCGTCACACCTCCCCCGTTGCTCTCGTCACACCTCCCCCGTTGCTCTCGTCACACCTCCCCCGTTGCTCTCGTCACACCTCCCCCGTTGCTCTCGTCACACCTCCCCCGTTGCTCTCGTCACACCTCCCCCGTTGCTCTCGTCACACGTCCCCCGTTGCTCTCGTCATACCTCTCCCGTTGCTCTCGTCACACCTCCCTGACGTATTCCAACACGCATGTCAAATTCTCCTATAAACGCCTCATTCCGCATCCTCTTCTCTCCCCACCCCCACTTTACCCCACTCCTCCCTTCCGCTGCTCCCCCTCAGATGTATTCCAACACGCCTGCCGATTTCGACTTCAAGCTCCGCAGGTACTGACCTGAACGTTTCATGGCCGCCTTTCTTTGTAGGCGTAAAAAGTTTGTGAACGTTTCATGGCCTCCTTTCTTTCTTTGTAGAAGCCCAGTTCCCTCCCGTCCTCTTCCTCCCTCCCCTCCCCTCACTCCCCTCCTCCCCTGCTGGCAGCATGGCATCGCCAGTTCCCTCCCTGCCTGCTTTCGCAGCACACCTGTCAGACGCAGTTGACATTGTGTTTCCGGTCATCCCTGTTGCATACACCTGCCATTTCCCCCCTCCCCTCACCTCGCTCCCTCCCCTCTCCCCCATGCAGCATGGCGTCACCCTTCCCCTCCCTGCCTGCATTCGCGGCACATCTGTCAGAAGCAGTTGACATTGTGTTTCCAGTCATCCATGGGAAATTTGGCGAGGATGGGGGCATACAGGTGCGCTTGCCCCTCTGCCATTCAATGTCAGACCACCACAACTATGGCATAAAAGTGCTGTTGAAGCAACATGGCGTTCCATTTGTTGGCACTTCCTCCGCTGCTGCTGCTGCTGCTGAGTTTTTTTTGAGTCAACTAACCCCCAACCCTCCCTCTCCCCCCCCGTTCTCCCTCCTTCCCTTCAACCCCTGCCAGGCACTGTTGGAGCAGCACAACATTCCCTTTGTCGGCACCTCCTCTGCTGCTGCCGCTCGGCACTGACTTTTGAGCCGACTCAATTACCCTCCTCCCAACCCTTTCACCTCCCCCCTCCTCCCCTCCTCCCCCCTGCCAGGCACTGCTGGAGAAATATAACATTCCCTTTGTCGGCACTTCCTCTGCTGCTGCTGAGTTTTGAGTCTGCTAACCCCCACACCTTCCGCTCCCCTTCGTCCCCCCAACCCCCCTTCTCCCCTCCTCCCCCCTGCCAGGCACTGCTGGAGCAACACGGCATTCCCTTTGTCGGCACTTCCTCTGCTGCTGCACGCAATGCATTTGACAAGGTGGGAGGGCGGGCGGGCAGGCGACTGAGTAGGGGAACTTGTTTGACAAGGTGATAATTACACCGGAAACCAAAGGTCTCAGGTTCGAATCTCACAAGGTCCTATAACCGCAGCCTGCCAGCCCGCCAGCCCAGATGTAACCAACAGACTGGTTTTGTCTTGCACTGCACCTTGCTTCTCTCTCGCCTCACTTTTGAGTCGACTCAAAAGTCTCTCGCCTCACCTTCGATTTTCTTTTCAAAGATGCGAGTTCATTTTTACCCTCCCTACCTCCTCCTTCCTTACCCCCCCCCCCCCCTGTCTCTGGCAGTATGCGTGTTTTATCTAAGGCATCTCAAATCCCCCCTCGTCTCCTTTCCCCGGTGTTTCCTGCAGTGTGCATGTTTTATCTAAGGCATCTCAAATCCCCCCTCGTCTCCTTTCCCCGGTGTTTCCTGCAGTATGCGTGTTTTATCTAAGGCATCTCAAATCCCCCCTCGTCTCCTTTCCCCGGTGTTTCCTGCAGTATGCGTGTTTTATCTAAGGCATCTCAAATCCCCCCTCGTCTCCTTTCCCCGGTGTTTCCTGCAGTATGCGTGTGCACAGCACATGAAGCGTTGCGGCTTTCCCACCCTCCCCTCCTTTCTCATCCAGGTATGCAACTTAACTGAGAGCCAGTCTTTAGGTAAGTACTCGCTCTTAATCATGTTCTGACGGGTCTGGAAACCCATTTTTTCAGGCTTCCTTTCTCACATTTTTTATTCAAAAGGGCAGTTTAGAAAGAAAACCATGCTTGAAATAACCGTGTACATGAAAGTATGGCTTTGTGTGGATTCAGGCTGGGGTAGACGGCAACGATGGTGACGTGGCGCTTGCTGATTGGTTCACCTCCAACGGACTCTCACCAGCCACCGGCTCTGTTGTGGTGAGTCTCTCTCTCTTCAGTCCATATCTCCTTGCTTTCCTGCTGCACCGTACTCTACCATTGCTAAGTGCGTACTTACCTGAGTTCTACTGGTGTGATTCTGGGTTGCTTTGCTTTGCAGGTGAAGCCAGCTCGAGCTGGGTCGAGTGTCGGTGTCTCTGTGTGTTCCGGTGCGATGGAAGCTTCCCAGAAGGCTCGCGAGCTGATATCCGAGGTTTGTTGGTTCGTCCCACTCCTTGTAATTTATTGTTTCCGTTCTTTCGTTGTCGTTTGCTTAGGATATTCTCCCTCTGTCAAGCTAAACTATCTAGGCTCGTTTTTCTCCCCCCCGCCCCTCTCTCCTCTCCCCTAACTCCTGCCTCCTGCTTCCTCTCCATGCCCCCCTGTGTGCCCTACCCCCTTCTAGGGTGTGGACGATAGGGTGGTGGTGGAGGTGTTTGCAGCAGGGGGCAAGGAGTTTACTGCCATCGTGTTGGAAGCACCATCCCCTACTCTCCCTCCTCTCCCCTGCTTCCTCTCCATTGCCCCCCTGTGTGCCCCTACCCATCACAGTGTGTGGACGATCGGGTGGTGGTGGAAGTGTTTGCAGCAGGGGGCAAGGAGTTCACCGCCATTGTGTTGGAAGCACCATCCCTTCCTCTCCCTCCTCTCCCCTGCTTCCTCTCCTCTGCCCCGTGTCCGCCCGTACCCATCCCAGGGAGTGGACGATGGGGTGGTGGTGGAGGTATTTGCAACAGGGAGCAAGGAGGTCACCCATTGTGCTGCACTTAACCCCATACCGCTTGTCCCCATGCTTCCTCTCCCTCTCTCCGCTCCCCCTACCCCTTCTAGGGTGTGGACGATAGGGTGGTGGTGGAGGTGTTTGCAGCAGGAGGCAAGGAGGTCACAGCCATTCTGCTGCTCTCAACACCATGCCACTGTCCCCCTGCCGCTTGACCCATGCCCTTGTCACCACGCTCCCCAGAATGTGGACGATAGGGTGGTGGTGGAGCTGTTTGCAGCAGGAGGCAAGGAGGTCACAGCCATTCTGCTGCACTCTACCCTTGCCCCTGCCTCCATCCTGTCTGTCCCCCTTCCCGTCTCCCCTCCGTCCCCCCAGGGAGTAGACGAGCGGGTGGTGGTGGAGGTGTTTGCAGCAGGAGGCAAGGAGTTCACCGCCATCGTGTTGGAAGCACCATCCCCTACTCTCCCTCCACTCCCCTGCTTCCTCTCCTGTTTGCCCCTACCCACCTCAGGGTGTGGACGATCGAGTGGTGGTGGAGGTGTTTGCAGCAGGAGGCAAGGAGTTTACCGCCATTGTGCTGGAGTCATCAGTAGCAGAAGCAGCTGGGAACGGCACCCGTGGTGCAGTGTGCCTCATTCCCACGCAGGTGAGTGCTTAGAGTGCATTGCAGGGCATCAGGAGGCAAGGGGTTCCCTGCAATTGTGTTGGAGGCATCAGCAGTAGCTGTTGCTGGGGCTGCGGGTGAAACATATGCGCCTGGCGCAAGCAGCTGCGGTATTCCAGTGACTTTTGAGAACTCTCAAAAGCTGCGGCAGCACCTGCCACGCTGTGTGCAGGTTTTGACCGCCATGCAGGTTTGTCTTGATTGCAGTGCATCAGGGGGTGCTCCAGGCCCGACTCTTGCAGTGCTTTAGGGGGTGCTCCAGGCCCGACTCTTGCAGTGCTTTAGGGGTTGCTCCTGTCACGCCAGAAGGCCCTGATGCTGGCGGTGACAGCTGTGTTGTTATCTTTGACTAGACTATCTTATCTCACCTTCCTCTCTTGTCTTGCCATGCCCCACACCGGGTGGAGTTGACAGGCTCTGCTGCTGCTCCTGCCACGGCAGCAGCAGCATCACCTGAAGGCGCTGATTCCGACAGTGACAGCATTGGGGATATCTTCGACTCGACCATAGAAAGCAGCTTGCTCTCTAGATTACCTGCAACTTCTCTCACCTTCCCGTGTCTTGCCACGCCCCACCACGTCAGGTGGAGTTGACAGGCTTTGCTGCTTCTCCTGCCACCACATCAGCAGCAGCAGCAACTGAAGGCGCTGATTCTGACAGTGATAGCAGTGGGGATATCTTCGACTATAGACGGAAATACCTTCCCACTCAGCAGGTAAGGTTCGAGTTGCCCCTTTGACCGCCTCACCTCCTACGTTCCCCCTTTGACTCTCGTTCACTTTTGTCTTCCCGTCTTTCCCCACGCTCGTCCCCGTAATCCCTGGTACCTACCCAATTCTGCCTGTCTGTTACCCCCCTCCCACCAACCCCCCCTCTCCCCCTCACTTCCCCCCACAACAGGTTCTCTACTCCACGCCGCCCCGCTTCCCCCCATCCATCCTCTCCTCCCTCCGCGCCTCAGCCACTCGCCTCTTTTCCTCACTCTCCCTCGGAGACTGCGCTCGCCTCGACGGATGGTTCCTCCCTCCTTCCTCCTCGGCTTACGCCCGCGTGCTGGCGGGGCTAAGAGCTAGCACCGACAATTCACGAGGTGGAAACAAGGAGGATAACGAGGCAGCTAATAACGAGGACAACCAGCAGGGGGAGGAGTGGGAGGAGGAGTATAAGGAGGGGATTGTGGTGTTCTCGGATGTCAATATTGTTAGCGGCATGGAGCAGACGTCTTTCCTCTTCCAGCAGGCTGCTTTGGTGAGTGGTCCAATTATGGTGGCCCTTATGATTTTGACGCCCGCTACCATTAGCATTACCATTACCATTAACATTACTATTACCATCACCATCACCATCATCATTACCATTACCATTACCATGACCATTACCATTACCATCATCATTACCATTACCATAATTATTACCAATGCCATTACCATCAACATTACTACTACCATTACCACTACCATTACCATTACCATTACCATTAAGATTACCATTACTACTACCATTACCATTACCGTTACCATTATCATTACCATTACCATTACCATTACTATTAATATTACCATTACCATTACTATTACCATTACCATTACCATTACCAATAACATTACCACTACTATTATTACCATTACCATTACCATTAACATTACCGTTACCACTACCATTACCATTATCATTACCATTACCATTACCATTAACATTACCAATACTACTACCATTACTATTACCATTAACATTACCACTACTATCATTACCATTATCATTAACATTACAATTACTACTACCATTACCATTACCGTTACCACTACCACTACCACTACCACTACCACTACTGTTACCGTTACCGTTTACCGTTACCATTACCATTGTGGTGTTTTCGGACGTGAATATCGTTAGCGGCATAGAGCAGACGTCGTTTCTTTTCCAGCAGGCTGCGTTGGTGCGCCTTCCCTCTTCCCCACTGTGTATTGCTAGTAATTGTATGCTAATAACGTGTACAATATCTCCGGATGTGAATATCATTAGCGGCATGAAGCAGACCTCGTTTCTCTTCCAGCAGGCTGCGTTGGTGAGTGTTCTACCTTCCTCACTTATTCATGTTAAAAGTTGTATGCTAATATTGAGTATAGGGATGAGCAAAGGGCGAACACGAACATGTTCGTCTTCGCCCCTTGTCGAACACCCTCTTTTGCCGAACCGAACACTGTTCGGTTCGGCGAACAGTTTAGGAAAAAACAGGTGTTCGCTGTTCGCCTGTGGAGGCGTGTTCGGGCGAACCTCGAACACGTTCGTGTTCGCCACGGGGCGTTCTGCAGCAGCGCCACGAACACGAACGTGTTCGGGCGAACATCGAACACGTTCGGGCGAACGATTTAAGCTGAAAAACAAAACCTGTTCGGTTCGCCTCGAACGAACCGAACAGGTGTTCGCCACCTTGCTCATCCCTAATTGAGTACAGTGTCTCTGGATGTCACTATTGTTAGCCTGCCCCCATGTCCCTTGAGTCAACTCAAATTACACTCTTCCTCTCTACTCTCCACCTCCCACTACCCACAGGTGGGGCTGTCCCACTCGTTGATCCTTCGCTGGATCCTCGCATCAGCCTGCTCCAGATACGGCCTTCCCCTACCTGCTGTGTTCCAAGTCAACTAAACCACACTCTTCCCCCTCTCCCCCAACCCGACCACCCCGCAGGTGGGCCTATCTCACTCCCTCATCCTTCGCTGGATCCTCGCATCAGCCTGCTCCAGATACGGCCTTCCCCTCCCTCTCCACCCCCCTCCGGCTGCTCCTGGCGTCGAGAGAGTGCGAGAGGAGGGAGGTGGAGGCGAGGCAGGTGAAACGGCAGGGAGGCGGCAGCTGGTGTGGGTGTTATTTGGGGGCAGCACAGCAGAGCGCCAGGTGTCCCTGATTAGTGGAACTAACGTGTGGCTCAAGCTCAGGGCGTGCCCGCAGGTGTGTGTGTGTGTCTCTGTGTGTGTCTGTGTGAGTGTGTCCCTTGCTGTCCTGTGCTGTTGCCCCTGCTGCGTAGTGGCAGCACAGCAGAGCGCCAGGTGTCTTTGATCAGTGGAACCAACGTGTGGGTCAAGCTGAGGGCGTGCCCGCAGGTGCGTCTGTTGCTCTTGCACCCCTCTCCACTCTTTCTTAGCACATAGCCCATGCTCCCAACCTCAGCCCTTGCTGTGAGTGCGCACTAATCAGCTTGTGAGTGGGAGCACCACGTTTCTATGATCAGTGGAACCAACGTGTGGCTCAAGCTGAGGGCCTGCCCGCAGCCGCAGGTGTGTTAGTGTGTCTGTTTTTGTGTGTGAGTGTGTCCCTTGCTGCGCTGTGCTGTGCTGTCGCCACTGCTGTGAGTAAGCACAGCAGAGCGCCAGGTGTCTCTCATCAGCAGCACCAACGTGTGGCTCAAGCTGAGGGCGTGCCCGCAGGTGTGTGTCTCTTTCTCTGTGTGTGTCTGTGTGAGTGTGTCCTGTGCTGTGCTGTCCTGTGCTGTGCTGTGCTGATACCCCTGCCCTCCCCCCCAAACCCGGGGGCCCTCCTCTTGCCATCCCACTCCCACAGTTTGACGTGCAACTGTTCCTCCTGTCTCCATCGCACGACAGCAGCAGCAACACTGCTGGAAGCACCAAGAACAACAGCTCGGGCAACGGCTCGAGCCCTGGGTCTCTCTCGTTGAGTGAGCGAGCGGCGTGGGCGGCAGAAGTCGACACAGTCTGGTCCCTCCCGTAAGCATCGTCTTGTTGCCACTGCACAGTAGCATTGCTACAGAAAGCAGCTCAGGCAACGGCTTGAGCCCTGGGTCGCTTTCGTTGAGTGAAAGAGCTGCGTGGGCGGCGGAAGTCGACACTGTCTGGTCCCTCCCGTAAGCATCGTCTTGTTGCCACTGCACAGTAGCATTGCTACAGAAAGCAGCTCGGGCAACGGCTCGAGCCCTGGGTCTCTCTCGTTGAGTGAGCGAGCGGCGTGGGCGGCAGAAGTCGACACAGTCTGGTCCCTCCCGTAAGCATCGTCTTGTTGCCACTGCACAGTAGCATTGCTACAGAAAGCAGCTCAGGCAACGGCTTGAGCCCTGGGTCGCTTTCGTTGAGTGAAAGAGCTGCGTGGGCGGCGGAAGTCGACACTGTCTGGTCCCTCCCGTAAGCATCGTCTTGTTGCCACTGCACAGTAGCATTGCTACAGAAAGCAGCTCGGGCAACGGCTCGAGCCCTGGGTCTCTCTCGTTGAGTGAGCGAGCGGCGCGGGCGGCAGAAGTCGACACAGTCTGGTCCCTCCCGTAAGCATCGTCTTGTTGCCACTGCACAGTAGCATTGCTACAGAAAGCAGCTCAGGCAACGGCTTGAGCCCTGGGTCGCTTTCGTTGAGTGAAAGAGCTGCGTGGGCGGCGGAAGTCGACACTGTCTGGTCCCTCCCGTAAGCATCGTCTTGTTGCCACTGCACAGTAGCATTGCTACAGAAAGCAGCTCGGGCAACGGCTCGAGCCCTGGGTCTCTCTCGTTGAGTGAGCGAGCGGCGTGGGCGGCAGAAGTCGACACAGTCTGGTCCCTCCCGTAAGCATCGTCTTGTTGCCACTGCACAGTAGCATTGCTACAGAAAGCAGCTCAGGCAACGGCTTGAGCCCTGGGTCGCTTTCGTTGAGTGAAAGAGCTGCGTGGGCGGCGGAAGTCGACACTGTCTGGTCCCTCCCGTAAGCATCGTCTTGTTGCCACTGCACAGTAGCATTGCTACAGAAAGCAGCTCAGGCAACGGCTCGAGCCCTGGGTCTCTCTCGTTGAGTGAGCGAGCGGCGTGGGCGGCAGAAGTCGACACAGTCTGGTCCCTCCCGTAAGCATCGTCTTGTTGCCACTGCACAGTAGCATTGCTACAGAAAGCAGCTCAGGCAACGGCTTGAGCCCTGGGTCGCTTTCGTTGAGTGAAAGAGCTGCGTGGGCGGCGGAAGTCGACACTGTCTGGTCCCTCCCGTAAGCATCGTCTTGTTGCCACTGCACAGTAGCATTGCTACAGAAAGCAGCTCAGGCAACGGCTCGAGCCCTGGGTCTCTCTCGTTGAGTGAAAGAGCTGCGTGGGCGGCGGAAGTCGACACTGTCTGGTCCCTCCCGTAAGCATCGTCTTGTTGCCACTGCACAGTAGCATTGCTACAGAAAGCAGCTCAGGCAACGGCTCGAGCCCTGGGTCTCTCTCGTTGAGTGAGCGAGCGGCGTGGGCGGCAGAAGTCGACACAGTCTGGTCCCTCCCGTAAGCATCGTCTTGTTGCCACTGCACAGTAGCATTGCTACAGAAAGCAGCTCAGGCAACGGCTTGAGCCCTGGGTCGCTTTCGTTGAGTGAAAGAGCTGCGTGGGCGGCGGAAGTCGACACTGTCTGGTCCCTCCCGTAAGCATCGTCTTGTTGCCACTGCACAGTAGCATTGCTACAGAAAGCAGCTCGGGCAACGGCTCGAGCCCTGGGTCTCTCTCGTTGAGTGAGCGAGCGGCGTGGGCGGCAGAAGTCGACACAGTCTGGTCCCTCCCGTAAGCATCGTCTTGTTGCCACTGCACAGTAGCATTGCTACAGAAAGCAGCTCAGGCAACGGCTTGAGCCCTGGGTCGCTTTCGTTGAGTGAAAGAGCTGCGTGGGCGGCGGAAGTCGACACTGTCTGGTCCCTCCCGTAAGCATCGTCTTGTTGCCACTGCACAGTAGCATTGCTACAGAAAGCAGCTCGGGCAACGGCTCGAGCCCTGGGTCTCTCTCGTTGAGTGAGCGAGCGGCGCGGGCGGCAGAAGTCGACACAGTCTGGTCCCTCCCGTAAGCATCGTCTTGTTGCCACTGCACAGTAGCATTGCTACAGAAAGCAGCTCAGGCAACGGCTTGAGCCCTGGGTCGCTTTCGTTGAGTGAAAGAGCTGCGTGGGCGGCGGAAGTCGACACTGTCTGGTCCCTCCCGTAAGCATCGTCTTGTTGCCACTGCACAGTAGCATTGCTACAGAAAGCAGCTCGGGCAACGGCTCGAGCCCTGGGTCTCTCTCGTTGAGTGAGCGAGCGGCGTGGGCGGCAGAAGTCGACACAGTCTGGTCCCTCCCGTAAGCATCGTCTTGTTGCCACTGCACAGTAGCATTGCTACAGAAAGCAGCTCAGGCAACGGCTTGAGCCCTGGGTCGCTTTCGTTGAGTGAAAGAGCTGCGTGGGCGGCGGAAGTCGACACTGTCTGGTCCCTCCCGTAAGCATCGTCTTGTTGCCACTGCACAGTAGCATTGCTACAGAAAGCAGCTCAGGCAACGGCTCGAGCCCTGGGTCTCTCTCGTTGAGTGAGCGAGCGGCGTGGGCGGCAGAAGTCGACACAGTCTGGTCCCTCCCGTAAGCATCGTCTTGTTGCCACTGCACAGTAGCATTGCTACAGAAAGCAGCTCAGGCAACGGCTTGAGCCCTGGGTCGCTTTCGTTGAGTGAAAGAGCTGCGTGGGCGGCGGAAGTCGACACTGTCTGGTCCCTCCCGTAAGCATCGTCTTGTTGCCACTGCACAGTAGCATTGCTACAGAAAGCAGCTCAGGCAACGGCTCGAGCCCTGGGTCTCTCTCGTTGAGTGAAAGAGCTGCGTGGGCGGCGGAAGTCGACACTGTCTGGTCCCTCCCGTAAGCATCGTCTTGTTGCCACTGCACAGTAGCATTGCTACAGAAAGCAGCTCAGGCAACGGCTCGAGCCCTGGGTCTCTCTCGTTGAGTGAGCGAGCGGCGTGGGCGGCAGAAGTCGACACAGTCTGGTCCCTCCCGTAAGCATCGTCTTGTTGCCACTGCACAGTAGCATTGCTACAGAAAGCAGCTCAGGCAACGGCTTGAGCCCTGGGTCGCTTTCGTTGAGTGAAAGAGCTGCGTGGGCGGCGGAAGTCGACACTGTCTGGTCCCTCCCGTAAGCATCGTCTTGTTGCCACTGCACAGTAGCATTGCTACAGAAAGCAGCTCGGGCAACGGCTCGAGCCCTGGGTCTCTCTCGTTGAGTGAGCGAGCGGCGTGGGCGGCAGAAGTCGACACAGTCTGGTCCCTCCCGTAAGCATCGTCTTGTTGCCACTGCACAGTAGCATTGCTACAGAAAGCAGCTCAGGCAACGGCTTGAGCCCTGGGTCGCTTTCGTTGAGTGAAAGAGCTGCGTGGGCGGCGGAAGTCGACACTGTCTGGTCCCTCCCGTAAGCATCGTCTTGTTGCCACTGCACAGTAGCATTGCTACAGAAAGCAGCTCGGGCAACGGCTCGAGCCCTGGGTCTCTCTCGTTGAGTGAGCGAGCGGCGCGGGCGGCAGAAGTCGACACAGTCTGGTCCCTCCCGTAAGCATCGTCTTGTTGCCACTGCACAGTAGCATTGCTACAGAAAGCAGCTCAGGCAACGGCTTGAGCCCTGGGTCGCTTTCGTTGAGTGAAAGAGCTGCGTGGGCGGCGGAAGTCGACACTGTCTGGTCCCTCCCGTAAGCATCGTCTTGTTGCCACTGCACAGTAGCATTGCTACAGAAAGCAGCTCGGGCAACGGCTCGAGCCCTGGGTCTCTCTCGTTGAGTGAGCGAGCGGCGTGGGCGGCAGAAGTCGACACAGTCTGGTCCCTCCCGTAAGCATCGTCTTGTTGCCACTGCACAGTAGCATTGCTACAGAAAGCAGCTCAGGCAACGGCTTGAGCCCTGGGTCGCTTTCGTTGAGTGAAAGAGCTGCGTGGGCGGCGGAAGTCGACACTGTCTGGTCCCTCCCGTAAGCATCGTCTTGTTGCCACTGCACAGTAGCATTGCTACAGAAAGCAGCTCAGGCAACGGCTCGAGCCCTGGGTCTCTCTCGTTGAGTGAGCGAGCGGCGTGGGCGGCAGAAGTCGACACAGTCTGGTCCCTCCCGTAAGCATCGTCTTGTTGCCACTGCACAGTAGCATTGCTACAGAAAGCAGCTCAGGCAACGGCTTGAGCCCTGGGTCGCTTTCGTTGAGTGAAAGAGCTGCGTGGGCGGCGGAAGTCGACACTGTCTGGTCCCTCCCGTAAGCATCGTCTTGTTGCCACTGCACAGTAGCATTGCTACAGAAAGCAGCTCAGGCAACGGCTCGAGCCCTGGGTCTCTCTCGTTGAGTGAAAGAGCTGCGTGGGCGGCGGAAGTCGACACTGTCTGGTCCCTCCCGTAAGCATCGTCTTGTTGCCACTGCACAGTAGCATTGCTACAGAAAGCAGCTCAGGCAACGGCTCGAGCCCTGGGTCTCTCTCGTTGAGTGAGCGAGCGGCGTGGGCGGCAGAAGTCGACACAGTCTGGTCCCTCCCGTAAGCATCGTCTTGTTGCCACTGCACAGTAGCATTGCTACAGAAAGCAGCTCAGGCAACGGCTTGAGCCCTGGGTCGCTTTCGTTGAGTGAAAGAGCTGCGTGGGCGGCGGAAGTCGACACTGTCTGGTCCCTCCCGTAAGCATCGTCTTGTTGCCACTGCACAGTAGCATTGCTACAGAAAGCAGCTCAGGCAACGGCTCGAGCCCTGGGTCTCTCTCGTTGAGTGAGCGAGCGGCGTGGGCGGCAGAAGTCGACACAGTCTGGTCCCTCCCGTAAGCATCGTCTTGTTGCCACTGCACAGTAGCATTGCTACAGAAAGCAGCTCAGGCAACGGCTTGAGCCCTGGGTCGCTTTCGTTGAGTGAAAGAGCTGCGTGGGCGGCGGAAGTCGACACTGTCTGGTCCCTCCCGTAAGCATCGTCTTGTTGCCACTGCACAGTAGCATTGCTACAGAAAGCAGCTCAGGCAACGGCTCGAGCCCTGGGTCTCTCTCGTTGAGTGAGCGAGCGGCGTGGGCGGCAGAAGTCGACACAGTCTGGTCCCTCCCGTAAGCATCGTCTTGTTGCCACTGCACAGTAGCATTGCTACAGAAAGCAGCTCAGGCAACGGCTTGAGCCCTGGGTCGCTTTCGTTGAGTGAAAGAGCTGCGTGGGCGGCGGAAGTCGACACTGTCTGGTCCCTCCCGTAAGCATCGTCTTGTTGCCACTGCACAGTAGCATTGCTACAGAAAGCAGCTCAGGCAATGGCTTGAGCCCTGGGTCGCTTTGGTTGAGTGAATGAGCTGCGTGGGCGGCAGAAGTTGACACTGTCTGGTCCCTCCCGTAAGCATCTGCCTCGTTGACATTGCAAGAGGGACCAAGCGTATCAGCATAAGCATGGTGGTTGAGGGTGCTTCCACCCCTCTTTCTGGCCGCCCCCTTTTCTCCAGCTCAACAACCCCACATCTGTTATTGCTTGCCCTGGTATCTTGACCGCACAGGTACCCCGCAATCCTGCGACACACTGTAGAGGAAGTCGAGGCAGCTTGTATCGAAGCATCAAGAGAAGCAGCTAGGCTAAAAGAAGCAGAGGCGGAAGCTGCAGAAGCAGAAACAGGCAGCAGCAGTAGTGCTTCCGCCTCCTCCTCTATCCCACACTCTCTCCTGTCCTCTCTCCAGCAATGCATCGAACAAGAACTCATGGGGAGTGAGACTCATCCAGTAGAACCAAGGGCTCGTGGGAAGCAAGGACTCGTGGGAATGCACGCCGCTGGTCCTGGTGGTGCTGGTGGTCGTTTTGGGGATGTCGATGTGCGTGTGGCCCCGAGACAGATGTTGCTCCGTGATTGGGTGGCTGCTGCGAAAGCACAAGGCGCAGTTGTCTTCATTGCAGGTATGCTATGCTGCCCCTTGCTCCAATCCCCTGCCTCGGCACCTGCTCGGCAGGTATGATATGATAGAAAGCATTCGCCCTTCTATTTTATTCTCCTCTCTCCCCGTTCTCTCGCCCCCCCTCCCCGGAACCTGGGCACACACAGGCGAGGACAAGTCAATGAGAGTTGGAGTCAACGAGTGAATGATGCCCGCTATTTTCTTCTCTTTCTCTTTCCTTCCCCCAGTTCACGGAGGTATAGGTGAAGACGGCACGTTACAGCACCTGCTGGAGCACGAGGGAGTGCCCTTTACTGGTGAGTGAGAGGCTTGGTTGTCCGTTCACCCAAAAAAACCCTTTGTCTCTTGGGTGACTTGATCATAAGAAGGAGGCATAGGTGAAGACGGCACGTTACAGCACCTGCTGGAGCACGAGGGAGTGCCCTTTACTGGTAAGCCACCTTTAAGTCGACTAAAAAATCGACTTACTGGTAAGCCTCCGACATAATCCATCCTTGCAGTTACTCTTTTTAAGTTGCTCTTACAAAGCATGATGAACACTGGTTGAGATGAATTCTCGATAGAGGCTCGCCCCTTCATTCGTTCCAACAGACTTTTTGCTCTCTTGCACTGGATAATTTGCTCTTGGAATCTTCATGTTGTGATGTGCACTTAGCTATGTTTGTTTTCTCTGCAGGTTCTGGGTCTGAAGCGTCTCAGCTGTGTATGGACAAGGTCGCGACAGGACAGGCCATTGCTCATGTGAGTCCCACTCGCGGTGGGTGTGAATGGGTGTCTATGGGTGCAACAGTGCGCCTCTTGAGTCTCAATTCTGTTGTGCATTCGCTTATTCTTTCTTCACCCTTTCGTTCCGTTGTTCTAGATTTTTCACTTTCCTTTCTACTTGCTCCCTTCTCTTCCTTGCCTTCTACAGCTGACCTCGGATGGTGTATTCTCAGCTCGAAAGCTGCTCCTTTCCCTTGACCAGTTGCTGCCCTGTGCTGCTGCTGCTGCTGCTGCTGCTGGTGGCGCTGGTGCTGCTGATGCCACGTGGCAGCGTCTGATTGGCGAGCTCCAGGCTGACTCGTTCTGTGTGAAGCCGGCCACAGACGGATGCTCTGCTGGCGTCGCCCGACTCGCGTGAGTGCAGTGTGTTTCTGTGCGGCACGGTGCGGTGCAGAGTGATGCAGAGGGGTGGGGTGGAGGTTGGGTGGGTGCAGAGCGGTGCCAGTCAGTCTGGTGGTGCAGGCGTATTTTGAGAATTCAAAGTCCGCTTGCAACACGTTGTACTGTCAAGATACAGGCGCGGTTGAGTTCGGTACAGAGGGTTGACGGATGGGTGCTCTTGCACCTAGGTGCTGATGATAGGAGAGGGAAATAGGTCCTTTCCCTCTGTACCTGACAAGGAGTTCGGTACAGAGGGTTGATGGATGAGTGCTGGGTGAGTCATCTCGGACAAGGATTCGCCAGCCTTTCACCCACCCAACTCGAGATGACTTTTGAGTCGACTCAAAAGTTTTCCCACACCTACCATCTCTAATTTCACTGAACTCTTAATCAAAGCTGACAAGGATTCGCCAGCCTTTCACCCACCCATCTCTTCCCCGTATCCCCTTCCCTCTTGTTCTCCCTCTTCTTCCCTTTTCTGTCGGTTTGCTTGCGCTCCTTCCCAGAAACCCATCTGACCTAGCAGCATTTCCTGTTGCTTGCGCTCCTTCCCAGAAACCCATCTGACCTAGCAGCGTACGTCGCAGCAGTCAGGGATGCGGCTCCCCGTCTCCCCTCCCTCTCTTCTCACCCTCTCCCCCCCCCCCCTGTCCCTCTCTTTCACCCTCCCACTCGCCCAGCAACCCATCTGACCTGGCAGCGTACGTCACAGCAGTCAGGGATGCGGCTCCCCGCCTGCTGCCAGGCCAGCTGTCCACAGTAAGTGGGTGGATGAGTGGGTGCGTGTGAGTCTACGCGGGCGCACAAATGATTGGGTGATGGGTGAGTGAGTGAGCAGTCAGGGATGCGGCTCCCCGCCTGCTGCTCGGCCAGCTGTCCACAGTAAGTGGCTGGGTTCTTAGAGGGTGCATGAGTGTGTGTGTGAATGAGCGAGTGAGTGAGTGAGCAACCAGGGACGTGACTCCTCGCCTGCTGCCAGGCCGGCTGGTGAGTTGAGTATATGCTTGTATTTGAGGTGGGTGAGTGTGTGCATGAGTGAGTGAGTGAGTGAGTGAGTGAGTGGGCAGTTAGGGACGCAGCTCCTCACCTGCTACCCATTTCCATGGTGAGTGAGTGAAGATGCCTGTTCCACCCCCAACCCATCTGCTCTTCGAACCCTTCATCGAAACAGACCCCATTCCCCTTTTACTGCTCCTTTAGGCTTCCTCCGTTCTCTAATACTTCTTTTCTCCCCACCCTCTCCCACCCTCCAGCTTTGTGGGATAGTGGAGATGCCTGTTCGCCCCCCAACCCATCTTCTCTTCGAGCCCTTTATCGAAACAGACCCTATCCGACCGCTGCCAACCGCACAGCAGCAGCAGCAGCAGCAGCAGCAGCAGCAGGAGGAGGAAGAGGAGGGCACATGTGACAATAACGAGGGGTTGGTGTGGGAGGGGAAGCGGCGGTGGGTGGAGGTGACTGTAGGGGTGGTGGGGCATCGGGGCAGGATGAGGGCTCTGGCTCCGAGTGTGACTGTAAAGGAGGCTGGAGACGTGCTCACACTGGAGGAGAAGTTTCAAGGTGAGTATATGTGACTGTAGGGAGTTATGGGTGTGGCTATTTGTGGTTCTGGAAAGTGGCCTGCTGCTAATGTTCTAGGTTGAAGGAGGGCGAGTGAGTGTTGAAGGAGAGCGAGGGTGAAAACATAGAAAAAAACTGAAAAGGTAAGTAAAACAGGGATCCCCTTCGGGAAAACATTAGAAGCTGTTATCAGCTTGGCTATCAGCCCTTCCCTGTTTCCTCCTCTTTCCCTTCCTTGATGCCTAAATCCCCCTCTTCCCGCATCCTGCATTTCTCGTTTCAGGTGGCACGGGCATCAATCTCACTCCTCCCCCAACGTCCATCATCAGGTATTGACCTCTTATTCACTCAGCTATCAGAACACAACACTCTCTATTCTGAGGTGCTTAGATGTGGCAGAGGGTGCTGCATCTACTTATTGAGACGTCTAAAAAATCAGCTATCAGAACACAACACTCTCTATTCTACGGTGCGTAGATGTGGCAGAGGATGCTTTATTTTTTTGCTTCAAATGTGGCAACAGCACTTTCTGATGCAGAGCTCCTTTTTTTTTTTTTCCTTTCTGGGCAGTGCAGGTGCCCAGGATTCAGGTCGGAGATTTTACGTCAAATCTTCTATCTGGTCTGCCTTTCACATGTCTATTTATGTCGGATTTCACCTCTGCACCCTTACCAGTGCAAGTGCGCAGGAGGCGGGGCGGAGGCGCATTGAGATGGAGGCCAGTGCTCTCAACATCGACGGTGTCACCTTTGCTGGCCTAGCAAGCAAGCATCTGTCCGTGTGCTCTTGCTTGCCTCTTTCTACCCCCCCTGCCAGTGCAAGAGCCCAGGAGGAGGGGCGGAGGCGCATTGAGCTGGTGGCCAGTGCTCTCAACATCGACAGTGTCACTCTTGCCGGCCTAGCAAGCAAGCATCTGTCCGTGTGATCTTGCTTGCCTCTTTCCACCCCCCCTGCCAGTGCAAGTGCGCAGGAGGCGGGGCGGAGGCGCATTGAGATGGTGGCCAATGCTCTCAACATCGACGGCTTCGCCCGGATCGATGCCTTCATGCATGCAGACACCGGCGAGGTAATTTTATTGGAGGAAACTCTACACATTCCGTCCACACTTCTGCATTTCCTTGCAAAATAGTGTTTTTTTTTTTCCGTTCCTCACAGTACCAGAGCATGCGTCCTCTCTTTTGTGGTTGGCATGAGCAGGTGATTGTTATTGAGGCTAACACTGTCCCGGGCATGACTCCTTCAACCGTGCTTATGCACCAGGTGCCTTGAAATTCACACCACAAACGTTCACCATACATTGTTGATTAGTTTCCTATGCTCACACAGACGGTTTTGTTGGCTGGTTGGTTTGTTTGCTTTTTTCTGCAGGCCCTAGCTGAGTCGCCGCCGATTCGACCACGTGATTTTTTTGCCATGGCAGTTGAGCATGCTCTTGAAAGGCATAGATAGTCTAAACACATGATAGTGAAATAGGTGTACCGTACATGAGCTAGAATCTTTAAAGTGCTACAGTGTCGTGGAGTCATAAGTTGTTGTGAGGATGTCGATGAGGAACGAGGGGAGTTTTCAGGTGTGATGTCTCGCCCCATGAACATCGCTTCACCAACAGCGTCTACCAATCAGACCGAGGCAGAAGGGTGATGCCAAGGAGGTTGAGGCGCAACGGATGAGATTGCAGGATCTGGGCGAATCCACGGCATATCAACGTAGTGTGCGAAAATGCAGCGACATGAGCGAGTTTTCGCGAGGACCTGCCAGACCTCGTCATCCATCGGGATGGTCGCAGCTCAGCATTATCGAGGTCTTGGGCGACATCAGCAGCCTTGGAGTTTGGCTTGCTGATTTTTCTCACATGCTGGCGTCGCACCTGCCTGCCCAATCGTCGCACTTCCTTGCCCTGAGGTCCTCAGCCGTCGCCAGCCACCAGAACCTGGCCTGCATTCTGTGTGCCATGCATTGCCCCTGCGACACCGCTGGTCGTGCGACCGTCGTTGTGTCTTGGCCGTGACACCGTGTATTCCGTTCTAGTGCAACGATTACGGATCGTCAAGAATCCTGCGAAATTCGTTACGTACCTCCTTCCCCTCCATCGCTCTCTTACTACGCTCTGACTTTTACACTGCCAGGAGCTGACAGCCATTGTTCGTAGATATTCTGAGTGCATTCCACTATCAGGGGTTTTGTTCCTTTTCGTTCAACTTCTTTCCCTCCCAAAAAGCTCAAATTTTATTTTTTTGTTCCCCTTCCTTCGTGGAAGCTTACCGTAGCAGATAACATGCCGATTTTTTCGGGCCTGTTTCTGAATAACGGAATATTTCCGGCTAATTTTTGTTGCCATCAAGGTTTGGCAGTTTAGACACCAATGGTGTTTTTTATGAGGTTTTAACCGACGCATTTCACACAGGCGATTACCGTATATGCCACGTTTCCTGACGGTTTGTTTTATCCCGAGGCCGTTTTGGTTAGAAAAATGGCGAATTCTGGAAAAAGTGGACGGAAAGATAAATCGACTTCAGGCCGTCCTTCCGCACAGAAGCAGCGAAAGAGAGGCTCAGATTCCCGAGTACAGAAAGTCGAGGATCAGTCTAGGGACGAAGCTTCGTTATTGACGGCTTCAGTAACAGAACAGAGCACGCTGGTGCATAGCACAGAGAATAAGGAGGACGAAAAGCCAGCGAAGCTCCCTCAAGTTCGGGCCGTAATTCCCGGACCTACGCCTGGATCTCGTGTGACTATAGCGGTGGGAAGTAGTATCCATGAGATCTGCCTCGTTCCGTTGCTGCAGATTAGATGGATCAGGCCGCAGAAGGTCGGACCTGGGTTGCGAAATCTAGGTAACACGTGTTACCTGAACAGCGTGTTACAATGCCTGACGTACACGCCGCCGCTCGCGAATTTCTGCCTGCAGCAGCAGCACACCAAGATCTGTGAGTTTCTGATGAGATATACGTTGATGGCATGATTCAATCGAGTTTCTCTCCGTTGTTGGTGTCACTAATACCGTTAGCTCCAGCCTGATACACATTACTTGCCAGGATTGATGTGCAGCAACAGCAACAGCAACAGCAACAGTGTAGGATTTTCGATGCGAAGTCTCGCACAAGAGGTTAGGCAGAGTGATAGAAGATTTTTTTGTTTTCCAGCTGAACCGTGCTCGGATTCTTCAACCAGTTTTTTCCTCAATTAGTCATCGTAGGTTAGCGTTCTTGCATTTCGGATAGATATCTGGCAGATAAGAAGTAGCAGCACTCGTTGACCTTTTCCCGTTTAGATTAGCATCACTCGTTCAGACGGCGCTAGTCAGTTCATACCAACATTTAGACAATTCAGTTTAGCATTCAGCCAGTCCAGATTAGCAAGCAGTACGTTCACATTAGCATTCACATCGTTCACATTAGCATTCAGCCAGTTAAGATCCGCATTTAATGCTTACAGTGTCATTCAGTCACTTCAGATTAGACTAGTCAGTCAAAAGATGGCATTCAGCCAGTTCAGATCAGCATTCAGACAGTTCGGATGAGCATTCATTCAGTCCAGATGAGCATTCAGTCAGTCAATTTAGCACTCAGTCAGTCCAGATGGCATCCAGTCAGCCCAGATGAGCATTCATTCAGTCCAGGTCAGCATTCAGTCAGTTCGGATGAGCATTCATTCAGTCCAGATGAGCATTCAGTCAGTCAATTTAGCACTCAGTCAGTCCAGATGGCATCCAGTCAGCCCAGATGAGCATTCAGGCAGTCCAGATGAGCATTCAGTCAGTCCAGATAAGCATTCAGTCAGTCCAGATGAGCATTCAGTCAGTCCAGATGAGCATTCAGTCAGTTCAAGTGAAGTCTCATCTTTTTGAGTCCATAATTAATGCACCTCGTCAGTTGTTACAATCAGACGTTAAGTTGAGTTGAGCTTTTGCTTCACGTCTTCTTTCCGCGCTCCTGCTGCTCTTTTAGATGCCTCTGCTTCCGAGATGACTTTTGAGTCGACTCAAAAGTCTCCTGCTGCTCTTTTAGATGCCTCTGCTTCCGAGGTGACTTTTGAGTCGACTCAAAAGTCTCCTGCTGCTCTTTTAGATGCCTCGGCTTCCTTGTTGACGACCTTCATGTCCTTCTAAACCCCTCTCACTCTCTGCTTTTGAGTCGACTCAAAAGCTGCTCTTTTAGATGCCTCTGCTTCCTTGTAGACGACCTTCATGTCCTTCTGAACCCCTCTCACTCCCTCCCACCTCTCCCATTCCTCAGGTGCACTTTTGAACCCTGGGGGAACAGCGTCCTGCCCCTTTTGCATTCTCGAGCGCCGTATCGCCCGCTCTTTGACTCTCGAGGCCGCCCGGGACACGCCTAGGGTTGTAGTGAACCGCTTAAAGCTCATTGCCAAGAGTTTCAGTCACGGGCGGCAAGAGGACGCCCATGAGCTGCTTCGATACGCGATAGAAGCATGTAACAGAGCGTGTGTAGCCCTGCACAAAAAGGTAGTTGCTGCAGCCGCAGCTGCTGCTGCTTCTGCGGCTGGGAATACTGTTAGTGGGCCGAACGGCAGTCCGGATGTGACTAAATCGGGGCCCTTGAGTCCACTGAACCAGCTGGTGGAAGGGATGTCTCTAAACGAGGGGGCCAGCGTTCAGAAGATGCACACGAGGCGCAGCTCTAGATTATCCCTAGACCGAGCAAACAACGGTAGGGAATCAGCAGAGGGAGGTCCGTTCTCCCAGCAGTTTGCCCCAGACCAGCAGCAGTGCATGCAGTTGGGCCAATTGACAGGCAGTGAGGGATCTCTAGTGCCTCAGTTAGGGGACCCTGTGGAGAACACAGATATGGACGTAGACGTGGACGTAAACGTAGACGTGGACGTAGCAGAAGTGCCTGAACCGTCTGCTGCTTCCGCACCAGCGCCTGCCACAGGATCATCCTCAGCAGCGGCTGTAGCGGATGAGGCGGATGTAGCAGCGGGGGGTAGCAGCAGCAGCGGGGGTGGGAGTGTGCCTAGGAGACGGATGAGCTTGAGAAGGCGAGGGTTCGCCACTGATGGGGAGGAAGAGGAGGACAGGGACGGGGGTTTTGGGCATGCGGGAGCAGGGGCGGGGGCGGGGAGGGGAGTGGGCGGAGGCAGGGCGCGGAAGGGAAGGGGGGTTGCGCTGCGGGTAGGGCTGCATGTCTTGCCCGGAAGGGGGAAAGGGCGGGGGGCAGGGGCGGGAGGGGCGGCAGCAGGGGCAGCAGCGGATCAGATTGGCTCACCTGGAAAATCTCCTGGTAGAAGCAAGGGAAGCCCCAGGGGAACAGGGGGAGGAGGCGCAGGTGGGGGCGGAGCAGGAGAGGGAGGGGCAGGGGGGTGTTCAGGTGGTCAGGACGAGCCACATACCATAGTGAAAGAATTTTTTGGCGGGATACTGCAGAGCCAGATTCGGTGCTTGCAGTGTGACGGGGAGTCTAATAAGAGGGATGCGATTCTGGACTTGAGTTTGGACGTGCACAGGCTAGGGTCGCTAAAAGACGCACTTAATAGGTTCACCAAGCCGGAGGTGCTGGATGGGGAGAATAGATACCGGTGTGATAAATGCAACCGGCTGTCTGCTGCGCGGAAGGCGCTGACGATCTTTCATGCGCCCAACATTCTTGTCATTCAGTTCAAGGTACAAACTGGATTGTAGGCTTAGCTGCACCTCCCACGCTGTGACCTGCCTGTTCTGTCTGCTGTGCGAAAGGCTCTGATGATCTTTCATGCGCCCTGCGTTCTTGTCTTGATAACTTTTTGCCTGCATTCTTGATGTTTGTGTGCTTGCTTGCTTACGTGCTTGCATCCTTGCCCTCCTGACCGCAGAGGTTTGAGAACGTGTTTGGAGGGAAGATTGACCGGCACATTCGATTCGAGGAGCGCGTCTCGTTGAAAGGCCACATGAGCGGCTGTAGCAAGGTGGGTTCAAGCGATGAGCGCCTGTAGCAAGGTGGGTCCAAGCACATGAGCGGCTGTAGCAAGGTGGGTCCAAGCACATGAGCGGCTGTAGCAAGGTGGGTCCAAACATGAGAGTACATTCTTTGTAACACCCATTCGCGTGTTACCTGCTGCCAACTCTATTCTCCCCCGCTTCCCTATTCGCTGCGATCATTGTTCTCAGGGTTTCCAGTTAGAGTACACTCTATTTAAAAAATACATCTGCTCGTTGCTCACATGCTGCCTTTTCTACCCACCCCGCCACCCCGCTCCCTGCTATCATCCCTCTCAGGATACCCAGCCAGAGTACACGCTCTTTGGAGTGGTGGTGCATGCAGGGTCGTCTCAAGACTCGGGCCATTACTATGCATATGTCAAGGTAGGTACACCGTACACTGCTATGCTTGTGTCAAGTCAAGGTGACTTCTTAGTCGACTCAATTGTCACCTTTTCCTAAGACTCGGGGCATTACTATGCATATATCAAGGCAGGTATACTGCTATGCATATATCAAGGCAGGTATACTGCTATGCATATATCAAGGCAGGTATACTGCTATGCATATATCAAGGCAGGTATACTGCTATGCATATATCAAGGCAGGTATACTGCTATGCATATATCAAGGCAGGTATACTGCTATACATATATCAAGGCAGGTATACTGCTATGCTTATGTGGATGTACGTGGAGATTATGTCGAGGCGAGTGGTTGTGCTACTCTGTCTCCCTTTGCCTTACCTATCAGGCAACACGGCCTGCGTGCTGTTCTGCCTCCTCCCCTCCTCCCGTCGTTCCCCCCCCCCTTCTTCCCTCCCCTCCACCCCCCACCCTCCTCCCCACAACTCCCTCCCTTCCCCCCCCAGGACTCCACGGGCAAGTGGTCCTGCTGTGACGACTGCTCCGTCTCCCCAGTGGCCTCCCTATCAGGCAACACGGCTTGCACCCTCTTATTCTATAACTCCCCGCTTGCTACATCCGTTCCCTTCCCCCCAGGACTCCACGGGCAGGTGGTCCTGCTGTGACGACTGCTCCGTCTCCCCAGTGGCCTCCCTATCAGGCAACACGGCTTGCACCCTCTTATTCTATAACTCCCCGCTTGCTACATCCGTTCCCTTCCCCCCAGGACTCCACGGGCAGGTGGTCCTGCTGTGACGACTGCTCCGTCTCCCCAGTGGCCTCCCTATCAGGCAACACGGCTTGCACCCTCTTATTCTATAACTCCCCGCTTGCTACATCCGTTCCCTTCCCCCCAGGACTCCACGGGCAGGTGGTCCTGCTGTGACGACTGCTCCGTCTCCCCAGTGGCCTCCCTATCAGGCAACACGGCTTGCACCCTCTTATTCTATAACTCCCCGCTTGCTACATCCGTTCCCTTCCCCCCAGGACTCCACGGGCAAGTGGTCCTGCTGTGACGACTGCTCCGTCTCCCCAGTCGCCCTCCCAGACGTCCTAGCAGACAAGGCCTACATGCTTTTCTACCTCCGCGTCTCCCCTCGCCCCCCCGGATCCACCTCCCTCTCCTCCCTCTCCTCGCCCACCTCCCCTCGCCCCTCCCACCGCGCGCCCGCTCCCCTGTCTCTTGATCATACCAACAAGTCTCCTCTCTCTCCCTCTCGGTCTGGGAAGCTCGCTGCTCGCCGCCTGAGTGCGGACCTGCAGCTGTCATCTGCTGCTGCAGCAGCTGCTGCTTCTGCTGGCGCTGGTGTTGCTGCTGCCGGGGCCGGCGCTGGGGTTGCTGATTGTCTTGATGCTGCTACAGCTGCTACAGCCTCCCCACCTGGCCGCTGCACTGCCCTTCCTGTGCATGCTGCCTTCCCGTCAGAACCCTGTGTAGCAGGCGCCAAGCCAGAACCACTAGAGACGGCAGCAGCACCTGGTCCCCTGTCAAAAGCGGGTTACATGGTTACACGTGAGCCATCACCAGGGCCTATAGAGCTACCACCAGCAGCCGAGCAAGCAGAGGGAGAACTAGAAACAGATGCAGAAGAAGTGGCAGAAGCAGAGGCAGAAGCAGAAGCAGAGTTACAAGGAGAGGCGGTTTTGGCAATGGCAGATCTAGTAGGGGCCCGGGCAGGTGAAGGTGCAGGTGGGGCTTTACCTAAAGCCGTATCTGCACTTGCAGCCTTGGGGTTAGTGAGGAGGAGCGTTGCTGCTGCTGCTCCTGCTCCTGCTGTGCCTGCTGCTGCTCCTGTTGCCGCTTCTGTTGCTCCTCCCGCTGCTGCTCCTGCTGTTCTTCCTCCTCCTGCTGCTTCTGCTGCTCCTGTTATTGCTCTTCCCACTGCTTCTGCGGTTGCTCCTGAGTCTGCTGCTGCTCTAACAGCTGCTGCAGCTGCCTCAGGTGATGGAAACGGGCGAAGGAGGGAGAGCAGCAGCAGCAGGGGGAAAAGCATTGAGAAGCATGGGGTGGTTTGCGGGGTTAAGAGAGTGGCTCTGGTGAAGAGGATTGCAGATCTCGCAGCAGACGCATCTACTGCTGCTGCGCCCCATTACATTTCTGTACCTGATGAGCCTGCTATGCATGCTGGTGCTGCTGCTCCCGCTTCTGCTACTGCTGCTCCTGCATCTAGTGCTGCTGCAGCAGCACCCCTGGAAGGCGAGGATCTAAGGGCAGGTGCAGCACCTCTCTTGGATAGCAGGGTGCTAACCTCAGATGCAGCAGCGCTCCTAGACGCCAAGGAGCCAAGGGCAGGTGCAGGAGCTATGTTGGACAGGGCGCTAACCTCAGATGCAGCAGCTTTCCTAGACGCCAAGGAGCCAAGGGCAGGTGCAGGAGTTATGTTGGACAGGGCGCTAAGCTCCGGTGTAACTGCTGCCCTGGATGGTAGAGTCAAGGACAGGTGCAGCAGGGTGTGCGTGAACGGCAGCTGCAGTCAGCAGCAAGCGCGTTCCAGGGGCAGCAGCAGCACCACCAGCAGCACCAGCAGCAGCCGCAGCAGTGGCACTAGCAGCGCCACAAGTAGCAGCGGCAGCGGCAGAAGCAGTTGTGGGGTTGGTGATTTCAGGTGCGACGGGTGCCAACCCTGCAGCACAGGCAGTTGTGTTGGCAGAAACTTCTGCTACATTAGCAGCAGCACAGGCAGAGTTATCACCGGGAAAAGCTGCTACGTTAGCAGCTTTTGCAGGGGTTTCCACTTGCCCAGGTGTGGCAGCACAGACTGAAACAGCTGCTTTATCGAGCACAGCGGGACTTGAACCCGCGACCTTTCAAGTCACAGCGAGTGGGAGCCAAGCTGCAGAGCCTGTTTCGAGGGAGGACACGTCAGGGGCGTCTGTGCCCCACGAAATGGTTGAGAGGGACGAGGGGCAGAGATTTGGATTGTCTCAGAATGCGTCTGTCTCCCACAAGGCTGGCACTGAGAGGTCTCACTGGAAGGAGGGGGTAGAGAGGGATGAGGGCCTGACAGATGGGGATACAGGGAGGGATAGCGGAATGGAATGCGAAGAGGGGAAGGATGTGGGCTGCCTCGCGGGCTGGTTGGAGTGCAGGGAAGAAGACCTGGTGGAGGAGAGGGAGGCCCTAGTAGGTGATGTGGCTGCAGGAGTGACAGCAGAGGGGGAAGCAGGAGCGAGGGAAACAGCAGAGGTGGGGTCGACAATGGAGAAAACAACAAAAGGGGGAGCAGCAGCGGAGGAAAAAGCAGAAGGGGAAATATCAGAGGGAGAAGCAGGAGAGGGAGCGATGGAAGGCAATGTTGGTGAAGTCAAAACCCACGAGGAGGAGGGCTTTAGTGCAAGGCATTGGGAAAAAGAGGAGTTGAAAGAAGAGTCGAACGGCGAGGGTGTGTCTGGAAGGGAAGGGTTAAGGGACGAGACGTTAAGGGAGGAAGTAGCATTGGGCGAGGAGGTTTTGGAGACAGCGTTGGGAGAGGAAGATTTTATTGAGGAGATTGCTCAACAGAAGCTGGTTGTGGTGCACCCAAGTGCTCCGAGTGCTTCTGCTGCTGTTGCTGCTGATTTTTCTCCTCCTCCCGCTACCCTTCCTCCTGCTGCTGCTGCTGCCACTGCTGCCGCTGCTGCCGCCTTTGTGGATTTTGTGCTACCTTCTCATCGTTCTCCACATCCTCCTCCTCTTCCTAACCCTCAATTACCTCCTTCTGTTCCTCCTTCCATTCCTTGTCTGTCACCTTCTGCTCCAAATTCAAATTCTCACCTGTCATCCCTTCGTCCTTCTCCACATCAGCCTCTTCCTACTCTTCGTGTCTCTCCTCCTCTCGCGTCTGCTCCACTTTCTCCTGCGCTACCATCCGCAACAACTCTATCGCCTGCACTACCTGCTCCGTTTGCCTCTAGCAACGCTATTCCTAGCTCTGTTGTCAGTTCTGTAGCATATTCCGAGGCTGTTTTTCCTGGACCCAGGGAGGAAAGTGCGGTTGGAATAGTGGAGCCTGCTACTAACGAGGATGAAATTCCTGGCAAAGGTATCATTAGCCACAAGGGCATTACAGGCAGAGCAGAGCCATTAGCAATGGCAGGTGGGGCAGCAGTCAGTAGTTCTGCGGTGGCTGCTCAAGCAAGGGGGAACCTAGCTACTGCTGCAGATCAGGCAGTGACAGTAGCACGCACACCATGCCCAGTCAAGGCAGAATCAGACCTCCTGAATCTTCCTGCGTCCGATGTGTTGCAGTCAGACAGGTTTTGGGGTGATCTGGTTTATGGGCGAGTGGCAGGAGGAGTTGCTCCTGTGGGCGTAGCTGCAGTGACTCCTGAGACGTCTCCAAACTCTCTTTCTGGAGCTGGGGCGTATGGGCGAGTGGCAGGAGGAGTAGGTCCTGTGGGCGTAGCGGCAGCGACTCTTGAAACGTCTCCAAACTCTTTTGAGGGTAGGGCGGTTTCTGGATCTGGGCCGTATGGGCGAGTTGCGGGAGGAGTTGCTCCTGTGGGCGTAGCGGCAGTGATGGCGGCTACAGCTGTGTCGACCCAGTCTGAACAGGGGCAGCAGCTGCAGCTGATTCGCAATCACCAGCAGCCTGTTTTTGAGGCGCCTCACAGATCGACCCATTTCGAGCAAGGGCAGCAGCAGTTGATGCTCGATCAGCAGCAGCAGCAGCAGCAGCCGCAACAGTTGGTGCTGCATCAAAAGCAGCAGCAGCTGGTGATATTGCATCAGCAACAGCATCAGCAGCCGCATCGGCAGCACCTGGGAGGGCAGCTGCTGCAGCAACAGGTGCTCCATCAACAGCAGCAGCAGGCGCAGCAGCAGCAGCAACATCCGTCCCTGCAGCTGGTACAGTCACTCACTGCCCCTGTCGCTGCCCCTTCCCCTGCCCCTGTCCCTGTCATTGCCCCTCTCCCTGTCCCTGCTTCTCTTCCTATTCCTGCCGCTTTTTCTGCCCTTCTCCCTGCCCCACTCCCTGCCTTTTCCCAGCCGCCCACATGCACGCGCTTGGTGCTCCCTCCAATGGCATGGCGCCCTTCACACTCCCCCCACCAAAAGACCCATTCACATCCCCCCCAGCACCTTTCACAACTGCCGCAGCAACAACCTCTGTCACACCCCCCCCAGCACCTTTCACAGCTGCCTCAATCCCAGCAACAACCACCCCTCCCACACTCCCCCAAACAAAAGCTAATCTCGCACCTCTCCCAACAGAAAGCTCTTTTGCATTCCCCTCACAGTTTAGTGCCTTTTGAACCGATTCCGACCGTTTTGTCACACCCCACACCGCAGCAAGCGCCTTTCCAGTCAAACACTGCTGCATCTGCCGTTTCGCACCCCACAGAGCAGCATCAACTGCCCTGTCAGTCATCATTCCCCACCGTGTTCCCACAGGCTGCCCAACAGATGCCCCTCAAACCGATTTCAACCGTTCTGACCCACCCCACACAGCAGCAGGAGCAATTGCCCTGTCAGTCATCATTCCCCACCGTGTTTCAACAGGCTGCGCATCCGATGCCGTTTGAATCAATCCCAAACGTTCTGCTGCTGAGCGGGCAGCAACCGCAACACCCTTTTAACTCAGGCAGTGCTGCAACTGCCGCTTCACACCCAACGCAGCAGCTACTGCCTGTACTGGCAGCCTCAACAGTATTTTCACAGCCCCTGCCGCAGGTGCCTCTTGAGAAAGTCTCGGATGCTGCATCACTCCCCACGCAGCAGCAGCAGCAACAGCCGTGTGAGTCATTTCGAGTGCCGTTTCAACAGCCCACGCGGAAGATAAACCAGCTACAGCAGCTGCCTCGTGAACGGATTGCTGTTGCACACCCCATGCAACAGCAGCAGCAACAGCCGTGTGAGTCGTTCCCTGTGGTGTTGCATCATCCCTTGCACCAGGCAGATCAGCCACAGAAGCTGCCTGCTGAACGGATTTCGAACGCTGTATCACTCCCCACACAGAAGCAGCAACAACAGTGTGAGTCGTTTCCTGTTGTGTTTCAACAGCCCCCGCACCAGATGGAGCAATCACCGATTTCGAATGTCGTGCCTCTCCCGGCGCTGCAGCAGCAGCAGCAGCAATTGCCATGTGAGTCGTTTCCTGTGGTGTTCCAACAGCCGCCGCATCAGATAGACCAGCTGCAGCAAGTGCCTCGTGAACGCATCTCAAATGCTGTAACACACACCACGCAGCAACAGTTGCAGCAGCAGCAATTGCCATGTGAGTCGTTTCCGGTGGTGTTCCAACAGCCGCCGCATCAGATCGAGCAGCTACAGCAGGTGCCTCTTGAATTGATTGAAAAGGTTCTGGCACGGCGCATGCAGCAGCAGCAACAGCTGGAGCAGCAGCGACAGCAGCAGCAGCAGCAACAAGAACAACAGCCGCAGCAACAGCATCAGCAACAACAGCAGCAGCAACAGCAACAGCAACAACAGTCACAGCAGCAACAACAGCAGCAGCAGCAGCGACAGGAACAGCAGCAACAGCAGCAGCAGCCGCAGCAGCAACAGCTGCAACAACAGCAACAGCAGTCACAGCCGGAACAACAGCAGCAACAGCAGCAACGACAGCAGCAACAGCAGCAGCAACAGCAACAACAGCAGCAACAGCAGCAACGACAGCAGCAACAGGAGCAACAACCGCAACAACAGCAACAGCAGCAACGACAACAGCAGCAGCAGCAGCAGCAGCAGCAGCAACAGCAACAACCGCAGCAGCCACACCTGCAGCAGCCACAGCAACAGCAGCAGCAGCAGCAAGCTTCGTTTTCCCAAATCCCATCACCTGTTTCTGTCAAAGTTTGTAGGTCGGTAGAGGGATCGATAGTATCACACCTGGTGCAGTCACCTCCCTCTCTGCCTGTCGCCCCTCCGCAACTTCTCACCCGGTCAAGGAGAGCAGCCGCTGCTGCTGCTGCTGCTGCCGCCGCATCAGGAGCAGCAGCAAGGGAAGCTGTAGCGGCTACAACTGCTGTGGCAGAAGCAGGGAGGCCTGTAGCTGAAGTGAAGGTAGAGAGAGTGAGCAAAAGAAGCATCAATACTTACAGTCGAATCCAGTCTCGCCCCCCCGCTATTGCTGACCTGGCATCATGCGATCACACGTCACTCTCTGACGGCTCTGGGCCAGCTGCTGAGTCGGCAGCTGACGTGGCACCAGCTGGTGATGCCACATCATCACGATCAAGAGCACGCGCTGCTGTCCCGCTACCTCCACGCGCCAAGCTTCCCCGGGCGGCAAAGTCGAACCGTGTCGGGACCGTTGAGCTCATCAGCGGTAGAGTGTCCACGTCAGCGGCTCACCTGCCAGGTCAGACCTCCGTTTCGGCAGCTCAGGCGTCGACCTCGCCACCTCAGAGGCGCCTGGGATTGAAGCAGGTGAATCTGAAGGAGAGAGTGAAGGCGGAAAAGGCAGCAGAGGCTAGGGTTCGGGAGGTAGGAGTGAGATACGCTGCTGTTGCAGATGTGGGCTTTAGAAGTGGTGGTGCTGGGGACGCTGGGGGCGTTGGGGGCGTTGGGGGCGTTGGGGGAGGGGTTGTTGGTGTTGACGGTGTTGTGGGAGTGGGCGTCGGGGGAAGAGATGTTGGGGGTGCTGGTGGTAGTGGTGGTGGTGTTTCTGGTGCCATGGCCACCACATATGCGGATGACTCTGGTGGTGGTGTTGGCACAGGTTTGAAAGGTGCCGATACTACTGCTGCTGGTGATCGTGGCACAAACGTTCAAGATGCGACCAATGCAGCAGCTGCTGCTGGTGGTGGTGGTGGCGGCTGTGGTGGTGGTGGGGACGGCGGCGGTGGCACAGGCATTACAGGTGCTGATAACTGTGCTGATGTGGTTGCTGCTGCTGGATGTGGTGGCGGTGGTGCTGGTGGTAGTGACAATGCAAACATTAAACCTGTGGATTCGGGAAGCACTGTTGTCAATGGTTTAGGGTTACACAATGATGACTCTGTCAGAGGCCCGACTAGTGGTAATGTGGACAGTAGAAACTTCACTGGTGGTGGTGGTGGTGACGGGGGCGTTCGAGACGTGAATGGTCGTGGCAGTGGTATCAGAGGCGCGGAGTTTTCTGGCCAAGGTATCAGAGACAGGTGGGGAGACATCAGTTCTGCCGTTCAGGGCGTCACAGCCGTCAACTCTGTCAATGAGGGCGGTAGGGGTGCCTTTGAGTCGACTCAAATTCAGGGCGTCACAGCCGTCAACTCTGTCAATGAGGGCGGTAGGGGTGCCGATTCTGCCATCCAGGAGGGTAGAGGCGCGGATTCTCGGGACTGGACAGGTGGGGATAGGCTGGGTGAACTGAATGCTCTTGCGGCGCATGAGAAGGCAGATGTGAAGGCTTGGACAGGTGCGGGTAAGAGGGCTGATGTGAAGCCTTTTGAGACACCTCAGGAAGCGGATTCTCTGGCTTGGACTGCAGCAGGTAGGTGGGCGGAGGTGCAATGGAGTGCTGAAGACGAGAGGTGTCTGCTTGCCGCTACTGAAGAGTTGGATGGAGATTTTGAGGGCGAATTGAGTGGTTTAGGAGAGGGTTTGGGAGAGGGTTTTGATGGGGATTTGGAAGGGTGTTTGGGTCAAGATTTAGGGGATTTCGGGTTTGGGGAGGCGGATTTTCTTGACTTGCCTTGGGCAGATGTGGTTGTTCCGGGTGTGGCTGTGGCGAATGGTGCCGCTGCTACAAGTGTGACTGAATTGCCAGGTACTGCTGCTTCTCATGATGTGACTATGGCACAGGAGGCTGTCACAGGTGTGACCGTATTAAATGTGACTGGAATGCAGGTTTCTGCTTCTCATGATGTGATTGTGGCACAGGGGGCTGTCATGGCTGCAGCTGCTGTGAATGTGACTCTAGCAGGTGTGGCTGTAGCACAGGGGGCAGATACAGATGTGACTGCTGTGAATGTGACTGTAGCAGGTGTGGACGGGGCACAGGGGGTTGCTAATGGTGCTGTGGCTGTGACTGTAACGGGTGTAACTTCAGAGGACCTTAGTTCAAGGGCAGGGGCAGGAGCAGCAGGGGCAGAAACAGCAGGTGGGGAAGCAGCGGGGGCAGAAGCAGCAGGGGGAGAAGCAGGAGGGGAAGAAGCAGCAGGGGCACACTCCTCACCTGCTCAGGTGCCGTTTCAGGTGGATGTGGGTGGTCAAGTGGATAGTCAGGTGGGTGCGCAATCATTACGGGCTGCTTTGGGAAACAAACCTGATGCTTATGTTGTGCGCTCAGCTGTTTCTTCTGTTGTCGCTTCTGCTGCACCACTGGCACCTTTTGTCTCTTCTGTTCCACAGGTACCAGTTAATTCTTCCATGTTTGCAGCGTCACCTTTTGCTCCTGCCGAGTTCGCCCTAAATAATGACCCACACACAGTTGCCACCTCCCCCCAAACAGTTGTCACCCTCTCCCACGCAGTTGCCACCTCCCTGCATACAGTTGCCACCTCCCCCCATACAGTTACCACCTCCCTCCACACAGTCACCACCTCCCCCCACACAGTTGCCACCTCCCCTCTCACAGTTACCACCTCCCCTCCCCCTAACATGGTTTCCTCCCCCAGTGCTGTAACTCTCCCCCTCTCTTCCCCCGACCCCCTCTCCCCCCAAGTCCCCCCTTCCCCCGCTCCCCCCACCCGAGTGCCCCCGCACTCTAGCCCCCCTTGGGCGCTTGTTGAGACAGCAGGGGCGCAGGGGGGCGGAGATGGGGCGCAGGGGGATAAAGATGCTGGGGAAGCGGGTGGGGATGCAGGGGGAATTGGTGGACATGCAGGGGAGAACGGGGAAGAGTTTGGGAAAGAAACCGGGGGGTTGGAGGGAGAGGAAGCAGAGGAGGGCGGGGAGAAGCGGGAAGTGCGTCAGGGGGAGGATGAGGAGAGGGACGGGAAGGAGGAGAAGGAAGAGGAGGAGGAAATGAGAGGGGAGGAGCAAGACGAAGGGGAAGAGCAGAAGGGAGTGCATGGAGGAGAGGAGGAGGCGAGGAAGAGAGAGAGGGAAGAGGAGCAAGAGGAGGGGGGGAGGGACGAGGGGCAAAAGGAGGAAAGGAGAGTTATGGAGTTGACTGTACTAGGGGAGAGTAAGAGGGAGAAAGGGGCAGGAAGTGGGGAACGAGAGGGTGGTGTAAGAAGAGAGGGCGAGGAGGAAGAAGTGGAGGAGGAGGAAGTGGATGGAGAGGTGGAGATAATGTGTATGGACGAGGATAAGGTGGAAGAGGTGGAAGAGGAGAAAGAGAAGGAGGAAAAAGAGGAAAAAGAGGAGGTTGAAGAGGAGGGACTAAATGTGGAGATGGAGGAGTTGGAGAAGAAGGAAGAGGAGAAGGAAGAGGGGGTGGAGGAGGAAGAGGAGAAAACGCAGGAAGAGGAAGAGGTTACTGACTTCGCATCAGCTGATGACATGGCTATTGCTGAGAATCGTGGTGATGACGTGGAGGCTCTAAACAGTGAGGATGATGACGTGGTGGAAGTACCTATGGATCAGGAACAGGAGCAGCTGACGTGGCATCTTCGTGGGAATGTCAATCTAGGTGTTGCCACTAGTAGTAGTCATGCTGCTGCTGCGAGGAACGAAATCACTGCTGGTGAAGCAGGAGAGGGAGAAGCAGTAGAAAGGGTGGCCGCAGAACGAGAGGCAGCAGAAAGAGAGGCAGCAGAGAGAGAGGCAGCAGAAAGGGAGACAGCAGAGAGAGAGGCAGCAGAAAGGGAGACAGCAGAGAGAGAGGCAGCAGAAAGGGAGGCAGCAGACAGTGAGGCAGCAGAGAGAGAAGCAGCAGAGAGAGAGGCAGCAGAGAGGGAGGCTGCAGAGAGGGAGGCAGCAGAGAGGGAGGCAGTAGAGAGAGAGGCAGCAGAAAGAGATGCAGCAAAAGAGATGCAGCAGAGCGAGAGGCAGCAGGGAGAGAGGCAGCAAACAGAGAGGCAGCAGAGAGGGAGGCAGCAGACAGTGAGGCTGAAAAGAGAGCGGCAGCAGAGGAACGAGCAGGAGAAGAAGCAGAGACAGCAGAGGGGGCAGAGGCAGGAGAGGGGGCAGAGGGGGCAGGGAGGGCAGAGGGAGCAGAGGAGGCAGAGGTTGCAAAGGGGGCAGAACGGGGAGAGGGGACAGAGGCAGCAGAGGAGGCAGAGTCAACAGAAGAAGCAGCGGTAGCACAAGGGACAAAAATGAGGGGTTCTGGGAAACAGGAGGCCACCGTTTTTCTGTCTTTGCCTTTGCCAACTCCGGAATCCCACAAGGCACCTGGGACCTTTGACCAAAGATGCTCAGCAGCTGAGGTGACTTTTGAGTCGACTCAAAAGCCAACTCATGAGTCGACTCAAAAGCCAACTCATGAGTCGACTCAAAAGCCAACTCATGAGTCAACTCAAAAGCCATCCCACAAGGCACCTGGGACCTTTGACCAAAGATGCTCAGCAGCTGAGCCTACTCAACAGCAGGAATGCACAGCTTTTGTTGATCCGACTCAACAGCAGGTTTCAGAATCCCAGTCTTACAAGCCGCCTGTGCTGCAAGTGCAGGCTGTAGAGTCGCACAAGCCACCTATGACCTCTGGGCGCCAGCAGGAATGCACGTCTTTTGTTGAGCCGACTCAACAGCAGGTTCCGGAATCTCAGTCTCACAAGCCACCTGTCACCTTTCAGCTACACCAGGAATTCGCAAGTGTGGCAGCTGCTGCAGTCGCTTTTGATCCAAGTTACGGTGTTACCAACCAGATGTATCACCTGCAATCCGTGGCTCTGGGTAAGGGTAAAGAGGTGAGGCCCGCTAATGTGACACTCCCTGAGTCAGATGTTACCATTCGGATGCATCATCTGCAATCCGTGGCACTGGATAAGGGCAGTAAGTTGAAGCTGACTGCTGGTATGGCACTCTTTGGGGCAGATGTTGCCAGCAGAGCAGCCGACGTGGCCAGCAGAGCAGCTGACATGGCGAGCAAAGCAGCTGACGTGGCGAGCAATGCAGCTGACGTGGCTGCACCTGAGGCTGACGGGGTTGAGAGGGCAGTTGATGTGGCAGAAGTGGATGTTGCAGCAGGAGAGGCAGCAGAGGAAGAAAGTTTGTCTCCGTCTCTCTCCTCCTTCCCATCCCCCTTCGCATGCTTCTCACTCTCTCCCCTCTCTTCTCACTCTCTCCCCTCTCTTCTCACTCTCTCCCCTCTCTTCTCACTCTCTCCCCTCTCTTCTCACTCTCTCCCCTCTCTTCTCACTCTCTCCCCTCTCTTCTCACTCTCTCCCCTCTCTTCTCACTCTCTCCCCTCTCTTCTCACTCTCTCCCCTCTCTTCTCACTCTCTCCCCTCTCTTCTCACTCTCTCCCCTCTCTTCTCACTCTCTCCCCTCTCTTCTCACTCTCTCCCCTCTCTTCTCACTCTCTCCCCTCTCTTCTCACTCTCTCCCCTCTCTTCTCACTCTCTCCCCTCTCTTCTCACTCTCTCCCCTCTCTTCTCACTCTCTCCCCTCTCTTCTCACTCTCTCCCCTCTCTTCTCACTCTCTCCCTCTCTTCTCACTCTCTCCCCTCTCTTCTCACTCTCTCCCCTCTCTTCTCACTCTCTCCCCTCTCTTCTCACTCTCTCCCCTCTCTTCTCACTCTCTCCCCTCTCTTCTCACTCTCTCCCCTCTCTTCTCACTCTCTCCCCTCTCTTCTCACTCTCTCCCCTCTCTTCTCACTCTCTCCCCTCTCTTCTCACTCTCTCCCCTCTCTTCTCACTCTCTCCCCTCTCTTCTCACTCTCTCCCCTCTCTTCTCACTCTCTCCCCTCTCTTCTCACTCTCTCCCCTCTCTTCTCACTCTCTCCCCTCTCTTCTCACTCTCTCCCCTCTCTTCTCACTCTCTCCCCTCTCTTCTCACTCTCTCCCTCTCTTCTCACTCTCTCCCCTCTCTTCTCACTCTCTCCCCTCTCTTCTCACTCTCTTCCCCTCTCTTCTCACTCTCTCCCCTCTCTTCTCACTCTCTCCCCTCTCTTCTCACTCTCTCCCCTCTCTTCTCACTCTCTCCCTCTCTTCTCACTCTCTCCCCTCTCTTCTCACTCTCTCCCCTCTCTTCTCCCCTCTCTTCTCACTCTCTCCCCTCTCTTCTCACTCTCTCCCCTCTCTTCTCACTCTCTCCCCTCTCTTCTCACTCTCTCCCCTCTCTTCTCACTCTCTCCCCTCTCTTCTCACTCTCTCCCCTCTCTTCTCACTCTCTCCCCTCTCTTCTCACTCTCTCCCCTCTCTTCTCACTCTCTCCCCTCTCTTCTCACTCTCTCCCCTCTCTTCTCACTCTCTCCCCTCTCTTCTCACTCTCTCCCCTCTCTTCTCACTCTCTCCCCTCTCTTCTCACTCTCTCCCCTCTCTTCTCACTCTCTCCCCTCTCTTCTCACTCTCTCCCCTCTCTTCTCACTCTCTCCCCTCTCTTCTCACTCTCTCCCCTCTCTTCTCACTCTCTCCCCTCTCTTCTCACTCTCTCCCCTCTCTTCTCACTCTCTCCCCTCTCTTCTCACTCTCTCCCCTCTCTTCTCACTCTCTCCCCTCTCTTCTCACTCTCTCCCCTCTCTTCTCACTCTCTCCCCTCTCTTCTCACTCTCTCCCCTCTCTTCTCACTCTCTCCCCTCTCTTCTCACTCTCTCCCCTCTCTTCTCACTCTCTCCCCTCTCTTCTCACTCTCTCCCCTCTCTTCTCACTCTCTCCCCTCTCTTCTCACTCTCTCCCCTCTCTTCTCACTCTCTCCCCTCTCTTCTCACTCTCTCCCCTCTCTTCTCACTCTCTCCCCTCTCTTCTCACTCTCTCCCCTCTCTTCTCACTCTCTCCCCTCTCTTCTCACTCTCTCCCCTCTCTTCTCACTCTCTCCCCTCTCTTCTCACTCTCTCCCCTCTCTTCTCACTCTCTCCCCTCTCTTCTCACTCTCTCCCCTCTCTTCTCACTCTCTCCCCTCTCTTCTCACTCTCTCCCCTCTCTTCTCACTCTCTCCCCTCTCTTCTCACTCTCTCCCCTCTCTTCTCACTCTCTCCCCTCTCTTCTCACTCTCTCCCCTGCCCTCCTTTGCCTTCCCCTTCCTTCCCTTCTCCTAGCGCCTGTATAGAGATGTGGCCTGTTGCAGAAGCGACCTTTGCTCCTCCCTCTACTCTCCCTTCCTCCCTTCCATCCTCTCTTCCATCCTCCCTTTCCTCCTTCCCCTCCACCCTCCCAGCCTCCTTTCCTTCCTCTGCTCCGTCCTCCTTCCCGTCTTCCCTTCCCTCCTCGCTCCCCTCCTCGCTCCCCTCCTCTCTCCCCTCTTCGCTCCCACCCTCGCTTCCCTCCTCTTTCCCCACCTCCTCCCCTACCGCCTCCCCTCCGTTCTCCCCGCCTCCCCTATCCCACACCCCTGTGGATGTTTTCTCGTTTTACAAAGCATGGGCACAGCGTAATGGCCCTGGCACTTACCTAAGTGCGAGCGCGGCAGTGGGGGAAATGCAGGGAACGGGAAGGGGAGTTGGGAAGGAAGCGGAGGAGGGGACAGCTGTAGGTAGTCAGATGAGAGCTAGGGAGAAGCAGGAGGAGGAGAAAGTTGAGAAGCAGGAGGAGGAGGAGGAAAAGCAGGAGAAGGAAGAGGAGGAGAGGGAAGAGGAGGAGAAGGAAGAGAAGGAGGAGCATGCGGAGGAGGAGGAGAAAGTGGAGGAGATGGTGTGGGGAAGAGATGGGCAGGCACAGCATAAGGTACATTCGGAGCAGCAGGAGGAGGTAAAGACACAGGAGCAAGAGAAGTGGCAGGAGCGACAGGAGGAGGAGAAGGAAGAGAAACAGGAGCAGGAGGCGCAGGAGAAGCGACAGGAGCGACAGGAGGAGGAGGTAGAGGAGCAGCAGCAGGAGGAGCGAGAGGAACGGAAGCAGCCGGTGCTGCAGGAAGAGGAGCAGGAGCAGCAGCAAGAGGGGCGGCAGGAGCAGGAAGGCCAAATGCTGCAGGAGGAGGAACTGGAGCAGCGGCAGGGCGGAGAGGAGCAGCAGCAGGGTGAGAGACAGCAGCAGAGGCAGGAGCAGCAGGAGGGGCAGGAGAAGCAGGAGGAACAGCAGATGCAGGAGGAACAGGAGCAGCAGCAGGGAGATGGGCAGCAACAGCAGCAGCAGCAGCAGCAGCAGCAGGCTCAGGGTGAGCAGGTTTTTGCAGAGCAACATGAGGAGGTGGGAGAAGAGGAGGCGGAGGAAGGGGAGGAGATGGAGGAGGAAGAGGAAGAGGAGGAGGAGGAGGCAGAAGTCTTAGATGTGGATTGGGTCGGATACGAGGAGGTGTGGGAGGGGAGGGGCGGGCGGACAAGTGTCAAGCAAGGGAGGGAGAGAGAGGAGGAGAGTGAGGGTGGGGACCTAGACGAGGAAGGGGATGGGGGAGAGGGGGGAGGGGAGGAGGAGGAAGAGGAGGACGTGGCGAGTGATGTGACTGAAGCAGCTGCTTCGGATGAGGTGGAGTGGGAGTCGTGTCATGCGGTGATGGATGCTTCTGTGATAGACTGTGAGCCGCCGCTGCCGCCGCCACAAGATGCTGCTGCTGCGGCCGCTGCCGCTGCCTCTGCTGCTGCTGTTGCTGTTGCTGTTGGTGGTGGCAATCCTGTGCATCTGCTCCTCCCGACTGCTGCTGGTTCTGCTGCTGCCGCTGCTGCTGCAACTGTTGGTGTAACTTCTGGTGTTTCTGGTGCGGTTACTGTGGCAGCTGCAGGCACGGCTGCAGCTGTTGTTGCTGGTGCAGCTACTAGTGAAGGGCTTATAGGCGGTTCAAGGTTTATGGAGGGTGTAGGGTTTATGGAGGAGCTAGGGGGTGCGTTTGAAGCTCCCAAGACCCCTCAAGCGGATGACGAGAGTGGTGAGGTGAGGGAATGGAAGAGAGGGAAACACGGAGAGGAGGAGGAGGAGGAGGAGGAGGATGAGGAGGAAAAGAGGGAGCAAGAGGACGAACGTGAGGAGGTGGAGAAGGAAAGAAAGGAAGTAAATAGCTGGCACAGTGAAAGCGAGAACGTTTCTAAGGATGGTGTTGTGGAGGAAATACAGGTGGCAGCTGTAATTGAAGGGGCTGCTGAGGTGGCGATAGCTGACGTGGCAGCTGATGTCGTAGTTGATATGTCACATGACATGACGGCTGATGTAATAGCTGACGTGGCACATATAGCAACAGATGCAACGGCTGAGAATGAGGCAGAAACGGAAGCGGAAGCAGTAGCAGACTCTGAAGCTGAAGTTGCTGCAGGGGAAGAAGTAGGTGCGGAGTTAGAAAGAGAATTAGGTGCAGAAGCAGCAGAATCAGCAGCAAGAGCAGTTTTTGAGTCGGAAGTAGCAGCAATAGAAGAAGAGCTAGAAGCAGGAGCAGATTTGGCAACAATGGTAGCAGCAGAAGCAGAAGTAGAAGCAGGAGCAGGAGCAGATTTGGCAACAACAGTAGCAGCAGAAGCAGAAGTAGAAGCAGGAGCAGGAGCAGATTTGGAAACAGAGTTAGCAGCAGCAAGTGAAGGAAGTGAAGCAGAAGCAGGAGTAGAGTTGGAATTAGAGCTAGGGATGGTAGCAGCAGAGGTTGAAGCAGAAGCAGAGACAAAGGGGGAGGCGGTTGCAGACGAAGCTGCTTTTGAAGGAGAAGCAGATTTTGAGGCAGAGGTAGCAGCAGGAGCCGAGGCTGAAGCAGAGATGGAAACGGAGAGAGAAGTGGGAGGAGAAGCAGAAGCGGAGGAGGCTGACTTAGCAGCAGACGAGGAAGCTACTACGTTTCAGGGAGAGGTTGGGGTGGAGGCAGAAGCAGAAGACGTCGAATTAGCAGCAGATGCAGCAGCAGGCATAGCAGCAGATGCGGAAGCAGATGAAGAAGCTATGCTGCAGGGAGAAGCCGAGGGGGCAGCAGAAGAAGTTGAATCAGCAGCAGATGCAGCAGCAGGCGTAGCAGTGGATGTAGAGGCCGAAGTAAGAGCAGACGAAGAGGCTATGCTTCAGGAAGAGGATGGGGTGGAGGCAGAGGCGGAAATAGAGGGAGAATCAGAGGTAGAAGCAGAGGTTGAGGAAACTGCAACAGCAGCAGGCGTTGCAGCTGGTGCGGAAGCAGAAACAGAGACCAAAGTACAAGCACCCGAAGAGGGTATGTTACAGGAAGAGGCTGGAGTGGAGGAGCCAGAGGCAGAGGGGGAGGCAGAGGGAGAGGCAGGGGCAGAGGGAGAGGCAGAGGCAGATGGAGAGGGAGAGGCAGAGATAGAGGCTGAGACAGGGGCAGGGGGAGAGGCAGAGGGAGAGGGAGAGGGAGAGGGAGAGGGAGAGGGAGTAGCAGAGGCAGAGGCAGAGGGAGAGGCAGAAGCTGAGGCAGAGGCAGGAGGAGAGGCAGAGGCAGAGGCAGATGCAGAGAGAGAGGCGGAGGGAGAGGCGAAGGGAGAGGGTGAGGCAGAGATGGTTGTGTACTTGGAAACAGGTGATGGAACACGAGAAGCTGTTGGTATGGAGGCAGAGGGAGCAGAGGAAATGGAGGTAGGAGGAGAGGAAGTAGAGGAAGGAGGAGAGGAAGTGGAGGGAGGAAAACAGGAGGTGGAGGGAGGAGGAGAGGAGGTGGAGGTAGGAGCGGAGGTGGAGGTAGGAGGAGAGGAGGTGGAGGTAGGAGGAGAGGAGGTGGAGGTAGGAGGAGAGGAGGTGGAGGTAGGAGGAGAGGAGGTGGAGGTAGGAGGAGAGGAGGTGGAGGTAGGAGGAGAGGAGGTGGAGGTAGGAGGAGAGGAGGTGGAGGTAGTAGGAGAGGAGGTGGAGGTAGGAGGAGAGGAGGTGGAGGTAGGAGGAGAGGAGGTGGAGGTTGTAACAGAGGAGGTAGGAGGACAGGAGGTAGAGGGAGGAGCAGAGGAGGCAGAGGCAGAGATAGAGGGAGAGGCAGAGATAGAGGGAGAGGCAGAGATAGAGGGAGAGGCAGAGATAGAGGGAGAGGCAGAGATAGAGGGAGAGGCAGAGATAGAGGGAGAGGCAGAGACGGTTGTGTACTTGGAAACAGGTGATGGAAGAGGAGAAGCTGCTGGGATGGAGGCAGAGGGAGAGACAGAAGCAGAGGCAGAGGGAGGAGCAGAGGCAGATGCAGGGGGAGAGACAGAAGCAGAGGCGGAGGCGGAGGCAGAGGCGGAAGCACAGGGAGAGGCAGAGACGGTTGTGTATGTGGAAACAGGTGACGGAAGAGGAGAAGATGTTGGTATGGAGGCACAGGGAGCAGAGGAGGTGGAGGTGGGAGGAGAGGAAGTAGAGGGGGGAGGAGAGGAGGTAGGAGGAGAGGAGGTAGGAGGAGAGGAGGTAGGAGGAGAGGAGGTTTCTGTTCTTCATCCACCCAAAAGCGACTCCATTCTTACCACCATTACCACCCCCGCTCTTGCTGCCCTCCCCGCTGCTCCTCCCTTGCCCCTTGTCATGTCACTGCCGCCTTCATCACCTGTGGCACCTGGGGTATCAGTGGTGGCTGTAGCTGCAGCAGCAGCACCATCTGTAGCACCATCTGTAGCAGCACCATCTGTAGCAGCACCATCTGTAGCACCATCTGCAGCAGCACCATCCGTAGCACAACAACCAGTGTCTCTGGCATGTGTAGCAGCGGCCACAGGACTGGACACAGCCCATGCACTGGTGGTGTCACCTGTAGCACCTGCGGCAGCTGTAGCACCTGTGGTGCCACCAGTGGCTGCATTAGCACCATCTGTAGCACAACAACCAGTGTCTCTGGCGTGTGTAGCAGCGGCTACAGGGCTGGACACAGCCCATGCACTGGTGGTTTCTCTTGCCCTGCAACGAGCTAAGGTCCGTGCTGCCGCTGCCACTCCTGCTGTGGCCGCTGCAGCTACTGCTATTGCTGCTGCTGCTTCGGCTGTTGCTGCTGCTTTTGTCGCTCCTGCTGCCGCTCTTGCTGCTGCTCCTGCTCCCTCTCCTGCTGCTCCTGCTCCTGCTTCTGGTGGTGGTGGTGGTGGTGCTGCCCTTGCTGCTTCTGCGATCTCGCCGTCCTCTCTTGCTGCTGCTTCCCTCGAAAGGCCCGCAACAGCACAGGCCACGTCATCACCAGCAATGGCATTACTGAGACTGCAACCACCACCACTAGCATCACCACCGCTAGCACCACTAGCAGCACCACCACTAGCATCACCACCGCTAGCACTACCGCCACTAGCACCACGACCACCACCACCATCCCGATCACCATGGGGGGATGTGGAGCTACCTCCAGGTGTGGACCGACCTACGTCTTTGGAGGCACCTCAAAAGTTGTCGCTGCCTCCAGGTTTGGAAAGACCTGTGAAATTTGAGGCGTCTCAGAAGTCATCACTGCGACCACCAGGTGTGGAGAGTCCCATGCACCTATCTCAGGTGGGAGTGGTAATCCCACCCATGCCTCCTCCAGCAGCAGCAGCAGCAACAGCAACAGCAAAACCCGTGTTGCAGGAGAATTCTAAAAAACACCCTGCAACAGCGCAGGTGGGAGTGGGGATCCTATCCATGCCTCCTCCAGCAGTAGCAGCAGCAGCAACAGCAACAGCAAAACCCGTGTTGCAGGAGAATTCTAAAAAACACCCTGCAACAGCGCAGGTGGGAGTGGGGATCCTATCCATGCCTCCTCCAGCAGCAGCAGCAGCAACAGCAACAGCAAAACCGTTCATGGGTGGAGGGGTTGCTACCTCCTCGTTTCCCTCCTCCTCCTCCTTCTGCTCCTCCTCGTTTTCCTCCGCCTCCGTTTCCTCCTCCTCTTCCTCCTCCTCCTCTTCTTCCTCATCCTCCTCTTCGTCATCAGCAGCAGCGGTATGTGTAGCAGCATGGCATGCGTGGGCCAGTGGTGCCGGCGTGGGGCGGACCACTCCTGCTCTTGCTCCTCTGCCTGCCCCTGCCCATGCCCCGCTGCCCCCTCTTGCCCCTCTTCCTGCCCTTGCTCCTCTACCTTCGGTTCCTCTAATGGCAGCTGTTGCTTCTCCTCCGCTCGCTGCTGCTCCTGCTCCTGCTGTTACTGCTTCTTCTGCTCCTGCTGCTTCTTCTACTCCTGTTTCTGCTGCTGTTCTTCCTGCATCTGTTGGTGGTTCTGGCAAAAGGAGTGCGGCATCAGTAGCACCACCACCACCAGCAGCAGCAGCAGCAGCAGCAGCAGTAGCAGCGAAGACAGCAGCAGCAGCAGCAGCAAAGACAGCAGCAGCAACAGCAGCAGCTACCGCTGCAGCTGGTACTTCTGGCAAAAGGAGTGTGGCATCAGCAGTAGCAGCAAAGACAGCAGCAGCAGCAGCACCAGCTACCGCTGCAGCTGGTTCTTCTGGCTTGTTGTTGCCTCCGTTTTTCTCACAGGCAGAAGGAAAAGATTCTTTGGCCAGGGTTGTTGAGGCATATGCTGCTGCTAGCGCTGCCAATAGTAACCCTGCTGGAGCAGCTGGTTTGGAGGTGCCTCAGAAGTCAGCATCTGCTGTTGGTGCTGCCAACAGTAAGCCTGCTGCATCGGCACCGGCAGTGGGAGAATCAGCAGGGCTGGTTTCAGCAAGTGAGGTGGGGAGAGGGATCGGCAGAGAGAAGCCAGCAGTGTGTGGGGGGGTCAATGGAGGAGATTGGCAGGGTGCTGCCAACAGTAAGCCTACTGTATCGGCACTGGCGGCGGGAGAATCAGCAGGGCTGGTTTCAGCAAGTGAGGTGGGGAGAGGGATCGGCAGAGAGAAGCCAGTAGCGTGTGGGGCCAGCGATTGGGGTAGTGTAGGAGAAGTTGGGAGGATTGACAGAGCGGAGGCGATGGGTGGGGCCTGTAAAAGAGAGAGCGGAGAAGCAGCTGGGGTCGGGATTGAGGAGGAGGATGGTACCAGCTCGCAGGTTTACGTAGGGGAGGTTTGTGTGGGGGAGGTTCATGTGGGGGAGGTTGTTGGATCACCTGAGGAGAAACATGAGGAGATTGGTTTCTACTTTCCTTATTCTGACAGCTCACCTGAACGCCCTGACAGCTCAGCTGACCACTCAGACAGCTCACTCGAAGGCCCTGACAGCTCATCGGAAGATTCTGACAGCTCACCTGGCAAGGCCCTCAGCGAGCCACCTGAACTTTCACCTGAGAAAGCACCTGAGCTACCTGCTGCCATTACATTTGAGGCTCGTCAGGAAGCACCTGAGAGTTGCAAAACTTCACGTGAGATTCAAATTGCTGATCTATTTGGGCCTTCACCTGAAGGTTCAATGGAAGATGCACCTGAAGATGCACCTGAAGATTCACCTGAAGATTCACCTGAGTCAGGCTACTGGGCACCTGAAACAGCTGATCGGACGTTTGAGGATGGGGGTGGTGCACCTGATGCCAATGCTGATGCTGCTGTTCATGCTGATGCCAAGGCTGATTCTGACACCAAGGCTGAGCCTCCACCTGAATTTTCACCTGAAGATGCTCCTCCTGAGCTAGGTTACTGGGCACCTGAAACAGCTGATTTGACACCTGAGGATGGGGTTGTTGCATCTGATGCTGATGCCGATGCTGCTGATGCCGATGCTAATGCCGATGCTGCTATTTTGGCTGTTGTTGCAACAACTGCGCTCGCTGATGCTTATGCTGATGCTGACGCTGATGCTGATGCTGATGCTGATGCAAATGCTGCTGCTATTACAAGTACTGACTTGGCTGCTGCAAGAACTGTGCTTGCTGATGCTGATGCTGATGCTGAACCTGATGCCAATGCTGCTACCGCTTCTATTTTGGCTGATGCGGCAACAACTGCGCTCACTGATGCTTATGCTGACACTGATGCTGGTGCTGATGCTGGTGCTGATGCTGATGCCGATGCTGATACTGCTACCATGACTGCCGTCGATGCAGCTATTGCACCCGACACTGCTTCTGCCGTTTCTGCTACTCCAGCGGATGCTGCTGCTGGTGCTGCTGCTGGTGCTTCTGCTGCTGCTGCTGCTACCACTGTTGATGCTGCCACTGTTATTGAAAACGCTACTGCTGCTGCTACCTCCGTCAATGCTGCCACAGCTACTGAAAGTACTTCTGTGGCTACTGACGCAATCGCTGCTGCTGATGTTGATCCTGTTATTCACGATGCTCCTGCTACCACTGTTGCGGCTGCCACTGCTACTGAAAAAACTTCTGCTGCTACTGACACGACTACTCATGCTGCTGCTGACACGACCATTCCTCCTGCTGCTACTGACAAGACCATTCCTCCTGCCGATATTGATCCTGCTACGCACCATGCTTCTGCTACCACTGTTGATGTTGTCACAGCAACTGAAAATATGTCTGCTGCTACTGGCGCAGCTACTACTTCTGCTGATAATGCTCCTGCTACCCGCAATACTTTTGCCACCACCGTTAGTGCTGCAACTGCAACAGAAGAAACTTCTGCTGCTACTGACGCAACTATTCCTTCTGCTGATAACGCTCCTGCTATGCACAATGCCACTGTTATCACTGTTGATGGTGCCACTGTTACTGGAAACACATCTGCTGCTGCTGACAATACTACTCCTGCTGATAACGCTCCTGCTATGCACAATGCCACTGGCACCACCGCCAATGCTCCCACTGCTGCTGAAAATACTTCTGCTGCTGCTGCCGACACAGCCACTCCTGCTGATATTGATGCTCCTTCTACCGCCGCCAATGCCACTGCTGATAATATTTCTGCTGCTGCTGCCGGCACAGCTATTCCTGCTGACATTGATGCGCCTGCCGATAATGCTCCTGCTACCACCACACCAGCCGCATCCTCTCATTTTCCTCCTAAGGACATCATGACTTCTTCTCTTCCCCCGCCTTCCCACCCCCCATCTTCCCACCCCCCATCTTCCCACCCCCCATCTTCCTTTCCCCCTATTGGTGCAGTATCCCGCCTTCCCCCCATAGGCGCAGCTGCATCTCTCCCCCCCATTGGCGCAGCAGCATCTCTTCCCCCCATCCTTCCCCACATGCCGCACTCTTTCCCCTTCAACCCCTTTCTCCCCTTTCCCCTTGGCCCCTTCCCTCCCCTTGGTTACAACTCGGGTTACCACCAGCTCTCACCCGCTCAAATGCTCTTCCTTAACAGAACTGCTGGATTTGGAAATGTTTCTACTTTTGGAAATGCTCCCAATTGGGGAAATGCTGGGCCTGGTGCAGCTGGTGAGGGGAATCGTTTTCCTGGTGCTGCTGGTGCAACTGCCAGCTTTGGTGCTGCTGCTGTTGTTGCCGGATCCACTGCTCGCTCTGCTGCTGCTGCTCCTGCTGCTCCTGCTGCTGCTGTTGCTGCTGTTGCTGCTGTTGCTTCTGCTGGTGCTGCTGCTGGCAGTGCAGCTGTCGTAGCCCCAGCTGCTGCTGCAGATTCGGAAGCCGCTGGGGCCAGAGCAAGAGTAGCTGCTGCCACAGGTGGCCCCCATAGGCCTGCTGGAAGAAACAGTGCCGCATGTGACAGCAGGGCTTCTAAAACGTCTAGAGGATCCAGTCTTGGACGAAGTGTTGCTTCTGGGCAGCAAGGGAACGCTTGGCAGGGCGCGGTTAGCAAGGAGTGGCAGGGAGGGGCTAGCAAGGAGTGGCAGGGCGGGGCTAGCAAGGAGTGGCAGGGTGGGGCTAGCAAGGAGTGGTTAGACGCTCCTCTGGTGTTTGGTCTGAACGTCATTCCGCCAGGCGCTGTTGTGAAGGAGACGGGTGGTGCTGCAGAGGAGGGAGACAAGGAGGATGGGGCGAAAGGACAGTCGTCTTTGGGTGAGGGAGAACCTGGGGAGGTGGAAGGGAAGGGGGCAGGTGGGGAGCGAGAAGGTGGGAAAGGGGCCGGTGGAAAGAGGGCAGATGAAAACGAGGCAGATGGTAAGGGGGCAGGTGCAAGGGGCACAGGAGAAAAAAGCGCAGGCGAGAAGGGGGCAGGAGATAAAAGGCCAGGAGAAAATGGAACAGGTGGTGCAGGTGAAAAAGTTGCAGGTAAAAAAGGGGCAGGTGAAGGTTCGGCAGGTGAAATAGGGGGAAGTGAGCCTAAGTTGGAATTGATGCATCCTATAAAACCTGCAAACCCGGGTGTATTTGATCCAGAAGCGAGCGTGGGTGTGAGTAAGATGAGTCGACTTGATAAGGCAGATGAGTTAGAAGAAGGTATGAGTGTGCTGAGCACGCTGCTTGGGTATGGGACGACTTTTGAGACGTCTCAAAAGGCAGATGAGTTGGAAGCAGGTGTGAGTGTGCTGAACACGCTACTTGGTTATGGGGCGGGTGAGGAGGCTGAAGAAGAGGAAGAGGTGGAGGTGGGAGGTGATGGAGAGGGAGGTAAGAAAAGGGAAGGGAAGGGAGGGGAAGGAGAGGAAGGAGGAGGAGCGGAAGCTGGTGCTGCTGCCGCTGGTGCTTCAGCAGCTGGTGCTGCTGCCGCTGTTTCTGCTGTTAGTGTTGGTGGTGCTGCTGCTATGTTTGAGGCGCGTAGAAAATCAGTAGTGGCAGCAACACCTGAGGTGGTTACTGCAGCTGTTAGTGCTGTTAGTGCTGTTGCTGCAGCTGTAGGCCCTGATAGCAGAACCCGGATTGAGTTGAGGGAGAGGGAGAGGGAGAGGGAGAGGGAGAGGGAAAGGGTGAAGGAGAAGGAGAGGGAGAGGGAGAGGGAGAGGGAGAGGGAGAAGGGGAGTGAGGGGAGGGAGAAGGAGAGGGAGAAGGCGAGTGAGAGGAGGGAGAGGGAGAGGGAGAGGGAGAAGGGGACTGAGGGGAGAGAGAGGGAGAGGGCGATTGGGAGTGAGGGGAGGGAGAGGGAGAGGGGGAAGGTGAGTGAGGAGAGGGAGAGGGAGAGGGAGAGGGAGAGGGAGAGGGAGAGGGCGAGGGCGAGGGAGAGGGAGAGGGAGAGGGAGAGGGCGAGAGAGGGGGAGAGGGAGAGGGAGAGGGAGAGGGAGAGGGAGAGGGAGAATGGAAGTGAGGGGAGGGAGAAGGAGAGGGAGAAGGCGAGTCAGGGGAGGGAGAGGGAGAGGGAGGGGGAGAAGGCGAGTCAGGGGAGGGAGAGGGAGAGGGAGAAGGGGAGTGAGGGGAGGGAGAGGGAGAGGGAAGGGGAGAAGGGGAGTGAGGGGAGGGAGAGGGAGAGGGGGTTGGTGAGTGTTGAGAGGGAGAGGGAAGGGAGCCAAAAGGAGAAGGGGAAGGAATGGAGGGAGAGGGAGAAGGGGAGTGATGGGAGGGAGGGGAAGGAAAGGGAGAAGGGGAGAGACGTGTGGGAGGGTGAGAGAGTGAGTGCTGGGAGGGAGAGGGAGAAGGGGAGAGAGGTGGATGGTGGAGAAGCAAAGGGTAGAGGGAGTGTAGGAGGCGAGAGAGACGTTAGAATGTCAGCAGAGAGGGGGAGGGAGTTGGTGCACATGACAAGAACGAGGGATGTGGATGTGACAAGAACGAGGGGCAGAGATGCAAGCGGCAGCTGTATTTTTGGGGTAGGAAGGGATATTGGAAGGGAAGCGCGTGAACGAGACATGGGAAAGATAGCAGAGAGGAGGGATGTTGATGTGACACGAATGAGGGGCAGCAACAATACGAGGGAAAGAGGAGGTGGGGAAGGAGGTGTAAGGGAAAGAGGAGCAAGGGAGGTAGGAGGAAGGGGAGGAGGAGGAGAAAGAGGAGGGGAAAGAGGAAGAGGGGAAAGAGGAGGAGGGGAAAGAGGAGGAGGGGAAAGAGGAGGAGGGGCAAGAGGAGGAGGGGAAACCCTCAGCAGCCACAAAGCAGATGGGGGAGAAAGAGTTGCAAGGGAAGGTAAGGAAGGAATGGAAAGAGGGGAAGACAGTGCATGGGAACGAGGAGAAAAGGCCGATGTGAACAGAAGTGGAGGAGAAAGAGGGGCTGAGAAGGTGGAGGAAGAGGAGAGAGGGAAAAGTCAGAAGGGTGTTGCATTGGCAGAAGAGACAGGGAGGAAGGAGGAGGAAGGTGGGAGTGGTAGTGTGAGAATAGGGAGTGGCACAGCGGGAGAGGGGGAAAAGGAGAGAGGGGAAGGTAGGAAGAGTTTTGAATCGGCTGAAAAGAGCAGGAAGGAGGAGGAAGGTGGGAGTGGTGGTGTGAGAATAGGGAGTGGCTCGGCGGGAGAGGGGGGAAAGGAGAGAGGGGAAGGTAGGAAGAGTTTCGAATCGGCTGAAAAGAGCAGGAAGGAGGAGGAAGGAGGGAGTGGTGGTGTGAGAATAGGGAGTGTCGCAGCGGGTGAGGGGGGAAAGGAGAGAGGGGAAGGTCAAGTGCGATTTGTGGTGGTGGAAGGGACAGGGAGGGAAGGGGAGAGGTGGAAGGGTGGTGCGCAGAGAGAGAGTGGAATGGAAGGAGGAGAAGGAGAAGGAGGAGGTGGAGGAGGAGGAAAGGAAGGGGGTGAGGGAGGAGGGAGAGGGGAGCGTGAGAGTAAGGGTGGTAAGGATGGAAAGACTGGCAGTAAAGCGAGTGGCAAAGGCAGTGGTAACAACAGGGATGCTGGCACCAGTGGTGGTGGCGGTTCTGGGGGTGGTGGTGGTAGTGGCAGGGGAGAGAAAGGGGGACAGAGAGTAGGATCGTCCAGAAAGGGAGGGATAGTTGGCGGTAAAGGGGGTGGTGGGGGTGGTGGTGGTGATGATGATGGTGATGGTGATGATAATGCTAGGGATTGGGACCGGAAACGGGCTTTTGGGAGTGATAAGGGCAAGGGAGGGAGAAGGAAAGGGGAAGAGGAGGAGGAGGGGGAGGAAGGGAGGGAGAATAAGCGAAGGAAGGAGGAGGAGAAGCGTGGGGAGGGGAGGGATGGGAAGAAAGGGGAGGAACAGGCGAGGCGAAATGCAGAGGTAGAGAAGAGTGGGAATGGGGAGGTGAAGGGAGGTGGTGTGAGTGTGGGTCATCGGGGGGAGGAGAGGAGGATTGAGAGGAGGGATGAAAAGAAAGAGGAAAGTGGAAGGGGTGATAGGAGAAAGGAGGAGGACAGAAGACGGGAGGAGGATGGGAAACGGGAGGAGGATAGGAGAAAGGAGGAGGATAGGAGAAGGGTTGAAAAGGGAGGACGAAAGGAGGAGGATAAAGGAAAAAGGGAGGAGGATAAGGAGAGGAGGGATGAAAAGGGGAGGAATGGGGAAGGGAGAAAGGAGGATCTCAGGAGAAACGAGGATGATAAGAAACGGGAGGAGGATAAGCGAAAGGCGGACAAACGGAGAACGGAGGATGGAAAGAGAAAGGAAGAGGAGAGGAGAAGGGAGGACGAGGAGAGGAAGCAGGAGGGAAAGAGAAAGGAGGGAAGGAGAAGGGAGGAGGGAAGGAGAAGGGAGGAGGGAAGGAGAACGGAAGAGGAAAGGAAAAGGGAGGAGGCTGGTAAGGATAGTGGAAGTGAAAGGGTGGGTGGTTCGCATAGGGATAAGATGGACGAAAAGAAGAGGGAGGGTAAGGGGGGCGAGATGGAAGAGGTGAGGAGGGAGGAGAGGACTGAGGAAAGGAAAGAAGAGAAGAAGGATGATAGAAAAGATGAGAGGAGGGAGGAAAAGAAGGATGGGAGGAGAGGGGAAAGGAAGGATGAGAGGAAAGAGAAGATAAGGGATGAGAGGACAGAGGAGAAGAGGGGTAATAAAAGTGTTAAGGAGGCAGGAGAAAGGGATAAAGAGAAGGGGGAGAGTATAAGTGGGGCGAGAAAAGAAGGGGAGAAGGAGCAAAAGGAGAAGAGAGGGCGATTGGATGGGGAGGAGCATGGGCAGAAGAGGGAAGGAAGAGGCATGGGTCATGATACAAACGAGGAGAGGAAGAGGAGGAAGGTGGAGGAGGAAATTAAGGACAAGGAGAAGAGGGAGAAGGAGAGGAGGGACAAGGAGAGGGGAGAGAAGGAGAGGAGGGAGAGGGAAAAGGGAGAGAGGGAGAGGAGGGAGAGGGAAAGTGGAGAGAAGGAGAGTAGGGAGAGGGAAAGGGAAGAGAAGGAGAGGAGGGAGAGGGAATGGGAAGAGAAGGAGAGGAGGGAGAAGGACAGGGGCGATATGGAGAGGAAGGGGGGGGAGAGGGGGATAAAAGAGAGGAGTGAGCAGGAGACGAGAGGGAAGGAGAGACGGGAAGAGGGGAGAGAAATTGAGAGAAGAGAGGAGAGGAGACAAAAGGAGGGGAGAGAAAAGGGAGGGAAAACAGTCCATGAAGGCAAAGGAGAAAATGGGGAGAGGAGAGAAGCAGTGGAGATGGGAAAAGGTGAGGAAGTTGAGGAAAAAGAGGCTAGGAGAGAAAAGGATAGTAGAGGAACAAATAAGCATGACAATAAGAAAATGTGTGATGAGAGTAAGACACATGACGATGGGAAGAAGGAAGAGGGTAGGGAGGATGGGAGGGGTGAAAGGCCTGGGCGAATTTCTGAGTCACGACAAAAATTGGAGGAGAAAGTTGTGGGGAAGGAGGAGGGAAGGGATGTGGGGAAGGGGGATGGAGGGCATGGGAAGCGGCAAAGGGAGCGTGAGTGCAGTGAGGAGGAAACTTTCAATGATAGTGATTCCAGTGAGAGTGATTCTAGTGAAGATAGTTCTCAGGAGGGAGGAGGGTTGAAAAAGAGGAGGAGCGGCGGAAAGAAGGAGGACAGGAGAGGAAAGCGGGTGAAGGGGAAGGGGAAAGGGAAGGTGAAGGGGAAGAAGGAAAAGGAAAAGGAAAAGGAAAAGGAAAAGGGGAACAAGAAATCTGGGATGGCAAAGGAGGGGGGTGAGGAGGGAAAGGCAAGGAAAGCAACAAAGAAGGAGGCGAAGGAGGAAGAGGAGGAGGAGGAGGAGGAAGAAGCGGAGGGCAGGAGTATGGAACTGCTGGTTCTAGCTGAGAAGAGGAAGAAGTGGCGGCAGGACTGGAGAGAGATGAAGGTAGTTGCAAGGGAGACCGAGAAGGAGCGAGAGAAGGACAGACAAATCGAGAGAGAGAACGAAAGGGAGAGAAAGGAAGCTGGTGCTGCTGCAGCGGCGGCGGCAGCGGCGGCGGCGGCTGGTGCACCTGCTTTCCCCGTCACGCTCCCTGCTAGCCCATCCTGTCCCCTGTCCGCTGTCCACTCACTTGTCTCTCCCCCACACACAACAGCCCATATTCCAGGCCCGCCATTCCCCGGTGGGGGTGCTTTTCCCAATAGTGGGGGGGCTTTTCCGGGTGGCGGTTTGTTGCAGACCCCAGGTGTGGCACCGCATCATACCCATACCAACCCCCTTGCACCGCATCAAACACACACCAACCCATTAGTAGCTCACCATGCACTGCTGCAAGCTCTGCGTGCTGCTCCCCGCCCCCCCCACTCTGGCTCTGCTCTGCCCCCCGCTCTGGCGAGTAGCGGTATTGGCATGAGTGGTATGGGTGGAATGGGTTTGAATGTGGTTGGGCTGGGTACTGGTGCGCCTATGGCTCAATTCGCTGCTGCAGCTGCTGCTGCTCGGGCTATTGTGAATGCCAAGGCGATTGCCGCTAGAGCTGGTGCTACTGCCGGTGCTGCTGCTGCTGGTGGTGGTGCTGTTGCTGGCGGTATTGGTGGTGATGCTTTAGCAGCTGCCGCCGCTGCTGCTGCTGCTTTAGCAGTCGGTGCTGGCATTGGTGATGGTGGTGTTGGGGGTGGTGGTGGTGCTGCTGCTGCGACAATCACTGCCCCTGCTGCTGCTCCGGCTTCTCTTGCTGCTATGCCCTCAGCTGCTGCTGCAGCACAAGCTGCTATGGCTGCTGCTTCGGCTGCTGCTCTTGCTGTCGAGCGTAGGCTCGGCCTGACTTCTGCCGAAGCAGCTTCCTCCCGAGCCTCCGCTGGTGGTTCGGCCGAGCCTGGAACTGGCTCGGGTGGTCTGGGTACAGGTGGTGAGGTGGGGCGGCAGGAGGGAGAGGGAGCAGGGGAGGGAGATGGGGAAGAGGATGGGGAGGGGAGGGAGGGTAGGAGGAGGGTGCATTTTACAGATGATATGGAGGGAGGGGAGGGAGGGGAGGGTGGGGAGGGAGAGGAGGAGTGGGAGGAGATGGAAGGGGATGAGGAGGAAGAGGGAGAGGAGGGGGAACAGAGGAGGGCTAGGAGGAAGAAGAAGGGAGTGGTGATTGACGATCGATACCTCGTTGATGTGAAAGATGTGAAGAACAGGTGAGAGCAGCCATTCTAGTTAAAAAGAAAGTGTTTATTACGTAGAGGCAAGAGGAACAGGGGAGTGGTGATTGACGATCGATACCTCGTTGATGTGAAAGACGTTAAGAACAGGTGAGAGCAGCCATTCTAGTCTTGAAGTGAGTGGTTTTTAGGTAGAGGCAAGGGGAAGAAGAAGGGAGTGGTGATTGATTGATACCTGGTGGATGTGAAAGATGTGAAGACAGGTGAGCTGGTTCTCAGGATTACTGGACAAGGTAAGTGGCAGGACAAAGGGCAAGAGAATTAAGGGAGTGATTGAGGATCGATGCCTGTGGGTGTGCAAGGGACGCGAAGAACAACTGCTGCATTTTATCGCTCGCCACTCTTCACACCCTTGCACCCACCTCCTCCTAGCTACCCTTGCTCTCCACTCATTCCCCTCCTTACAGTGTGAATAGAAGTACGCAAGGTGGTGCGCAGCAGGAGCAGTTTGAACCGCCTCTCCCCTTTCTCGTTTTTATGATTACCTTGTCTCTCTTCTCCTGTCCTCTCCTCATTCCCCACCTGCAGTGTGAAAGAAGCAATCAAGGCCATGCGCAGCAAGAGCAGCATCAACCGGCGGGTAGCTTCGATGACCACACTGGGCGTGTCAGGGCCAGCAGCTAGAGCAGCGGAGCAATCGGCACTGGCAGCCAAGCGGGAGAAGGAGAGGGCTCAGCTGGAACTGAGGAGGAAGTACTATGGGCTGCCTTGAGGAAGATGATGTGATGTGGGTGCAACATATAAGAGGGAGAGGGAGAGGGCTCAGCTGGAACTGAGGAGGAAGTACTATGGGCTGCCTTGAGGAAGATGATGTGATGTGGGTGCAACATATAAGAGGGAGAGGGAGAGGGAGAGGGAGAGAGCGCAGCTGGATTTTAGGGATGGAGTGGGAGGGTCACGATTCACATGGTGTGCATGTCTGGCATTTGGGGGTGTGTCAGGGCCAGCAGCCAAGCAGTCAGCACTGGCAGCCAAGAGGGAGAGGGAGAGAGCGCAGCTGGATTTGAGGGATGGAGTGGGAGGGTCACGATTCACATGGTGTGCATGTCTGGCATTTGGGGGTGTGTCAGGGCCAGCAGCCAGGGCAGCGAAGCAGTCAGCACTGGCAGCCAAGAGGGAGAGGGAGAGAGCGCAGCTGGATTTGAGGGATGGAGTGGGAGGGTCACGATTCACATGGTGTGCATGTCTGGCATTTGGGGGTGTGTCAGGGCCAGCAGCCAGGGCAGCGAAGCAGTCAGCACTGGCAGCCAAGAGGGAGAGGGAGAGAGCGCAGCTGGATTTGAGGGATGGAGTGGGAGGGTCACGATTCACATGGTGTGCATGTCTGGCATTTGGGGGTGTGTCAGGGCCAGCAGCCAGGGCAGCGAAGCAGTCAGCACTGGCAGCCAAGAGGGAGAGGGAGAGAGCGCAGCTGGATTTGAGGGATGGAGTGGGAGGGTCACGATTCACATGGTGTGCATGTCTGGCATTTGGGGGTGTGTCAGGGCCAGCAGCCAGGGCAGCGAAGCAGTCAGCACTGGCAGCCAAGAGGGAGAGGGAGAGAGCGCAGCTGGAGCTGAGGAGGAAATACTATGGGCTGCCTTGATCCCGAATATAGGGCCTTGTGGGTTGGAGCAGCATCAACTGCCGTGTCGCGTCCCTCATGACTCACCACTCGCGTCCCTCATGACTCACCACACAGGGCGTGTTAGGGCCAGCAGCCAGGGCAGCAGAGCAGTCAGCACTGGCAGCCAAGAGGGAGAGGGAGAGAGCGCAGCTGGAGCTGAGGAGGAAATACTATGGGCTGCCTTGATCCCGAATATAGGGCCTTGTGGGTTGGAGCAGCATTAGCCGCTGTGTCGCGTCCCTCATGACTCACCACACAGGGCGTGTCAGGGCCAGCAGCCAGGGCAGCAGAGCAGTCAGCACTGGCAGCCAAGAGGGAGAGGGAGAGGGCGCAACTGGAATTGAGGAGGAAATACTATGGGCAGCCTTGAAAAGGACAAGGACCGTAGGATCACGCCGAGCTCATGGTGGTGCATCTGACTGTTTGTTCCCCTTATTCGGGATGTGTTGGAGAAACCGACAATTAAAGCACTCCGAAATATACCCTGAGCTTATAATCGAGAATGCATGAAGCAAATAAAAACTATAATTAAGGAACACCTCCGCTTTTAAGCACTCCGAAATATACCCTGAGCTTATAATCGAGAACCGCGGTGCTCCGTTACGGGTGCAGGTACAGAACAAGTGCTTCAGTGCCCCTTTTCCCCCGCCCACACGCTGCTGAAGGATTTGGTTGAGCAGACCTGAGAAGCCATAGTCATCGCCAGCGAAGCACAACCAGCTGGGCGAAGCTGTCTGCGACGTAGGCCTTGTTTGATAGCCAACGGGAACGGAAACGGGAACGGGAACGGGAACGGGAGGGAGATGCTCGAAACCAGCCTCGGGAGGGAAAAATCGCATGGCGACGTCCATGCGACTGAGACCGAACCACCTTGGCATGGTCGGGGATTTCCGAGCTTGGCTCCCATATCTCTCCCGTTGCACAGTGCGCTGGCAACTGTTGTACAGTGAACCACAGGCAACAACCCCCCCCCCCCCCGTTCCCGTTCACCTGCAGAACGGGAACAGGTTTCGGGCAAAAATGAAAACATTTGGGGGAGTTATAGGGCTAAAATTCTCGGTTGGAATGGGTGCAGTGTTTGGGGCAGCTTAGCTGCAAAACTTTGGTAATCCATCTATGCCTAGCCGTAGCGGTCAAGTTTTTGTCTTTTAGTTGTGTCAGGCTCGGGATGACCACCTCCTCCCGTTCCCGTCCCCGTTGGCTATCCGAACAAGGCCGTACTACCGCGTTCGCTATTTCGTTAGGGCGGGTCCGAAGTGAAGTCGACATCCGTTGACATCCGATGTCGGTAAATCCTGACGGTTGGAACTCTCGATCCGAGGGTTGACATTTACCGACATCCATCAACATCCATTCGACGCTTCACTTACATTGAGAGTTGTGTTGTGTCACCTTGCCTCGTGTGATTGCCTTGCGCGTGCGTGCCCTAATGCCCGCCACTTTAGTCAAGGACGTCACGTGAACAATTATTTCGTACGTATGATACTAATGATTTTCGTCCTTCCTATCGCTTCACTCTTCCCCTGGGCAAGCACACAACGCAATGGCGGGTGGTTGTCGCAGCGTTGATAGTGGCAGCGTCTTCTAGTGCAACTGTGGTCAGATCCCCTAGCTGCCAACGGCATTGCCAACGCCATTTACTGAATGGCGGCGGTGGTTAGTAACCAGATTGTAAGGTCTTCGTGATTTTGTGTTTTCGCCAGCCTGCGCTGGATTCCGCTCAGCAAAACATTCTCCGGCTGTCGCCGTGAATTGTGCATAGATCTCGGAAACACGGCGTTCTTCCCAGATTGCTGCATCAAGCTTGTCAGCGAGAGCACAGATGGGTCGTATTGCGGCTTATGGCGTGTGCAAAGTGCTGCAAAAACTCGACGTCGAGGAACGTCGGTGAATTTCCACCCTCGGATCAAAGGTTCCAACTGTCAGGATTCACCGACGTTCCTCGACGTCGAGTTTTTGCAGCACTTTGTACACGCTACTAGATCTCGTACGTATTTTATTTTGACGTATCTAGCCGAACAGAATCCTGAGATTAGCCTCATGTCCTCCCACGAATGACACGCAAAAGGACAGTACTGTACAGGTGTCGCCGCTTTCCCGAGATCATTAATGTCGTCAGCCGAACAGAATCCTGATATATGCCATGTCGCCATCTTTTGGCGCAAGAGTGCTACGTACGGCAACTCAGCGTCAAGCAGCGGTGCTCCTATTTGTGCGTGGACTGGCAGTGTACAGGAGGCACCGCTGGAAGGCGGCGGCGAAAGATGAGCCTCTTTTTGAGTCGACTCAGTTGAGTCGACTGAGAAGCAGTGATGCTCCAGTATGTGCGGCGTGGACTCGGTGCCACAGTGTGCATATAGGAGGCACAGCTGGAAAGGCGGCGAAATGACATCAGCCACACGGTTGGTCCTTCCTTTTCACGTGTTCTGCGGGAAGCCTTTGCCTCTTCATCACACGAACATGACCTTGTTTTCTGGGACTCTCTGACCAGGAGAGGCGAGGCACGGCCGGGGGGACCACGTTACCACTGTTCCACAGCCAGCAGCCATTTCGATCGAAATTGAATGCCGGGATTCTATTGAGAGGCGCCTCAAAAGTAGTTCCCCCTCTTCCACAGCCAGCTGCAGCCAGTACGACTCGAACCGAATACCTGGCTGGACGTCTTACGAGAGAGAGTGACATACGATCTGCGTCTTCGCCTCAGTTCTCAGCTGTTAATCCCTGCGATGTCGCTACGCTCTGTTCATATAGAAAATCACTTCCCGTCTCCTCCATTTCTGCTCCCAAGTAGTACTACTTCGAATACCAGGCGTAAACCCTATTTCTGGCTCTCAGAACGTAGCGATCGAGGCTTCAGCGAAACCGTTCTCCGAGTCAATCTCTCTCATTTCCCCGTCCTGAAACTATCCTGAAACCCTACTACTCGCCACGTTATCCTATGGTAGTACTACTATTGCTACCACTGCCATGGATCTCCACTGCTCCTCTGAATGCGCTGAAGACTGTGACGGGCTGCACATCAAGTGGGAGCAGACTGCTCCTGCTGCTGAGGTGCAGAGAACCGGCGGGGTGACCTTTGAGTCGACTCAGAACTCAACAGTCGACTCAAAAGACTTCCACTGCTCCTCTGAATGCGCTGCAGACTGTGACGGGCTGCACATCAAGTGGAAGCAGACTGCTCCTGCTCCTGCTGCTGCTAGGTCCCCTGGCGGCACCGCCACCACCCCCGCCGCCGCCGCTGCTGCATTGCCTATTCTCGAAGCATCTCAAGAATTTATGCCAATAACTGCGTCGGCCCTCTCTGAAGAAGCGCCAGTGTTGCAAAGGTCAGCGGTAGTAGCAACGCCAGCACAAGCAGCAGGAGGCCGCACTGGGGACGGATTGGTAGAAATGTTTTATGGAACCCCAGCAACTCGCGGCGACGGAACGTTACACGACATGATCCTGTCGGGAAGATTCGTGAGGCGCCCCAAAACAGGAGGATTCAAAGCCCTCGATGCACACGGAACGTTGATCGACACGATCCTGTCGGAAAGATTCAAGCGCAAGGGTCCTGCCAGCTGGCGGGGTGAAGATTCTGCTTTTGAGTCGACTCAAAATCAGGCTCGCGACGGAACGTTGAATGACATGATCCTGTCCGAGTCGGGAAAATTCAAGCCCAAGGGTCCTGCCAGCTGGGGGGTTTTTGAGACGCCTCAAAGTTCTGCCCACTGGTGGGTTGATGGTGATTCAACTCGCGACGGGACGTTGAATGACATGATCCCGTCGGGAAGATTCAAACGCAAGGGTCCTGCCAGCTGGGGGGGTGATGGTTATTCGATTGCTGAGGCCCCAGCCATGCTCTTGAATCGACTAAAAAACGTAACGTTGAAGGACGCGATCTTGTTGGAGAGATTCAAGCGCAAGGGTCCTGCCAGCTGGTGGGTTAGTGGTGATTCGACTGCTGAGGCCCCAGCCATGCAGCCTCGGAAAAGGCAGTGTTTGGTGGGCGGTGATGGAGTGGGTTGCAAGCGCGCTGACGGCAGTATGGGTGCACGCTCACTTGGTGCAGGCTCGCTCGGTGCAGGCTCACTTGGTGCAGGCTCGCTCGGTGCACGCTCACTTGGTGCAGGCTCGCTCGGTGCACGCTCACTTGGTGCAGGCTCGCTCGGTGCAGGCTCACTTGGTGCAGGCTCGCTCGATGCAGGCTCACTTGGTGCGGGCTCACTCCATGCAAGCCCACTCAGTGCAGGTGTTCAGTGCGCCACTGCTGGTTTAGATCTTCCCAGGAGGAAAGGGCAAGCTCCTGCTCCAAGCCCTGCTCGGGAAAGGCAGTGTTTGGTGGGCGATGATGGACTGGGTTGCAAGTGCACTGACGGCAGTACGGGTGCACGCTCACTTGGTGCAGGCTCACTTGGTGCAGGCTCACTCGGTGCAGGCTCACTCGCTGCAGGCTCACTCGCTGCAGGCTCACTTGGTGTGGGCTCACTCCGTGCAGGTGCACAGTGCACCACTGCTGGTCCAGATCTGCCCAGGAAGAAAGCGGACGCTTCTGCTCCAAGCCCTGCCGTTCAATCCACTGTCCACATGATTGACTCACTCCCAGTGAGCCCGCCGCTGGTGCCTGCTGTTGCGTCCATAACGGCTGCACAATTATCTGCTTTTGAGTCGACTCAAAAGAAAGTGGACACTCCTGCTCCAAGCCCTGCCACTCAATCCACTGTCCACGCGATTGACTCTGTCGCCGTGAGCCTTCCACCTGCTGTTGTGTCCGTAACGGCTGCACAAATATCACAAGAGGCAGCCCAGCGAGCTTCTGCCGCACGTCATGATATGCATTCTGCACAGTTGAACGGGAGCGACCAAGCGGGTGACACTGACAATGTCCTGGGCTTGGAACGGCCGCCTATTCAGCGACGAAGCGCCACGGAAAAGCTTAGAAGACACCGGATCAGGTACCGTAATTGCAGCTTTGCACACAGACCTGTTCGTTGAGTGGT